TCAGCAAGGTCTGACCAGGCATTTCGGATTAATTGCTCCCAAGAACTAAAATCATCGTCGAGGTGAACATTGCGTGCCTGATCATTGAAGGGCAGGTCATACCACGTGGTGATTTCAACCGTCTTTTCACGAGAGGCCGGATGCATCATGGCTTGTTGAACCCACAAGGCATGCAAGTCTTGTACGAAACGAGGGTAATCTTCAATCCTAAACGAAAGGACTGGGACATCTGCAACAAACATATCTGGGAAGACAAGGGTAACACCCCGATTCCAATGGAGTTCCTCATGCGCTCGTTCTCCTGGAGAAGGGATAATCAATTTAAGCCCTTCTCCAGTATTCAAAGCAAGACCCCAACTGCTTCCATGCGTTCCTCTATGTAAGGTGCAGCGCCTGCCTTGGCAAACCCTACTGAGCTTGGCGACTTCAACCACATGCTCTGGTGAGGCATCTTTTCTCAAGACCATTGCAGCATGACCCGTACCATCTCGGAGTGCCAGAAATTGGAAACTGAGAAGAGTTGGAACATTCCTCGGGTTTGGCTGCTGAAACACAATCAAATGCCCTATCGTGTGTTCAAAGGGCGAGTCCTTGGGTTTCGGATAAACCCAGGCCATGTGGACAGGCTTGGTGGCATCAATTCTGTCTCTCCATCTTTGCTGTATATCATGCAACCAGTCTAGTGGCCGTTGGCTCAATCTGACAACACGTGTCTTCACTTGCTATTTCTTCAAGGCAATTGAGATACCACGTGCGCACATAAGCCACTGGGCCTTCATTGACATCCTCCACTTCATGTAGGTCAGCAAAATTCTTGAAAAAATGTCGAAACCAGAGTGGCCATGGAATTCCAGGAGGGTTTTCATGAAGATCGTTTTCAAGAAGATCAGCGACACAAGTGTTGTTGCAATCAGCAGGACAAGTTTGATTGGCATGCTCATCGGCAGTCGGGTGAAGTGGATCAGAAGAAGAGGAGGACGGTCTCTGCATAACACTGATATCATCATATGTATCATCTGCCTGGCCGTATTCCGCTCGTATATCTTCTGAATCCAACAAACTGGGAGAAACGTTAGAGTCAACTGTGCCACTACTACTCTGGGCAGGGCTAGAAGGCTCATAGTATCTTGACCAGAAATCTTCAACCGTGAGCTGCCTGCTGTCAGCTAAAAGCTCACCTGTAGAAACTTCACAACGATCTGAGGGGGGCAAAATGATTTTGGCATGATCTCCAAACATGGCTCGTCTCGGGTTGGGGTCTTGCAGATACCATGGAACATGCTTGAATTCAACGAGGCATCGCATCTTTTCAAATCTGCAAAACTCAAATACACGAGCCTGAGACAGTAAGACATTCCGTGAAAGCAATGATGGGACCGCCACAACTTTGCGTTCAAAAATCGGCGCAACACCGAAGTGGGCTTCCATCCACTGGCCATGAACCTCCACATCGACTAGGATAAGAACATATGCCGTGCCCACTGGTACATCTTGCACTTGTTGCACAATGACTGGGGCAATGCCTTCTGGAACATCAGGTAGTCTTACATTCAATTCGTGGCAGTCAAGCACATCTTCTCTGTCAACTGCATAGTGATATGCAATTTCACGCATCATGCTAGGCCAATCCGTCCAGTCCAGCATGGCATGGACTGGCACATCATCTAAATGAAACATCATGACAGCTTGACGCGCATTGTCATCATCAGGTGGGTGGATGATAGGATCCTCACTCCTCCCCGATTCGTCCCCTGCATCTTCTGCAGGCGAATCATCAGATTCATCGGCTGCCTGCAGAAGTTGGTTATTTCGCGCCACATGTCCCCTAACATCATTCACATGGGGATACCATGGTGGGGCCTCAGGATCATTGAATGTGAGAGGTCGAAGGCCCTTAGCCTTCCTGCGTTGCATGAAAGAAACTTCATCCACAAAGCTACTGGAAGCTGCAGTGAGAGCATCATTTCTGGTAAAAATGTGAGCTTGAAATCCATGACCATTTTGCATCTGGTGGACTTCCGTTTCATCGTTCAACTGTGTCCACCGAAAGAAAAACCGACAATCTGCAGTGCCGCATATTGTATCAAGGTCGGCAGCTACTGTGAGGATCTGCTTATTAACAAGTTGGGGCAGTGAGAGGGCTATGGCAAAGGCTCTACTGGTATCCTGCCTTTGTTGATCAACTGTCAACAAACCTGCAAATAAACCGCTCTCCTCCTCCTGCGCAACAATGATATCGGCAACTACATTGCGGGTGACATAGTGACGGTATGGATCAGGATGTACCACACTCAACCAAACTGCTCTTCTTTGATCAATCATGTCTCTCCATGCTCTCTCAATTTCCGGTTGCCAGTTGAACCAATTATGATCCAGTTCAATGAACCTCGGGACTCTCCAGCGCGGGAAGTGCTGATGATGTAGAAACCACGTTCTGATCAGAAATCCTTCCGCCTGCAGAGTGGCAAGTGGCAGACCTTGGGCATCGAACAAAGCAAAAAGGTCCTGAACAAATCCTGGTGGCTGCGGAAAGTTCCAACCGTCTTGTCCTTCATGCGGCATAGCATGTTCTGGGTGAAGACCCTGTGCGGTGCTTTCCTCAGTATGGAGCAATCTAGCCTGCCTTCCGGAGATCAACACGGCCTTCGGAGAAGACAGCGGATCATCATCGTAAGGTGGCTGCAATTCTGTTGCAAAGGTAACAACTTTCCTGGCACTCTGATTGGTCTTTTTCAAAATAGATCCAAAAATGGGCCAAGCTGGAAAATGTTTCGGGTCTGAGAGGCAAAAGCCATCATTGAGAAGGTTATTGGATACCTCAAGTTGCAAATCCACGGCCCTTTTTGTTGCTACAAAGGTCGGCATGAATTTACTTTCCCATCGGATGCTGTGGCAAAGGATCATACACATGGTGGATGGATCACAAGGTGACTCGTTGCTTGCTGCACACCACAGTTCCCCATCTGTGGCATAGGCCTCAACCGCGAGTCCGCCTCCCCATCTCTGAGTTTCTGGCGCATGGAGTGAATTCCTAAGACACTCAGCCCCATCGCCCCAATTCACATCGATCCTTCTGCAGCTCCAGATGCCTGCGGCGCCAGAGAAGCTTGATGTCCAAATGGCTCCAATGATCGCTGCCGCTTGGTTTTGGGTGCGTCCTCTCCTTCTTCGTCTGAGTCCATGATATCGTGGACATCTAGCGGGTTGACAATCGCTGCTGCCTGCTTCAAACAATCTTGTACCTGCTTTGTCAGTGCAGTCTCTGTTGCATCCAGGTCTCCTGGGCCATCCTCTAGATCCTGGCTCTCTGCATGTTCGGGCTTCACACTGGTTTGCAGTCCTGCAAGCTTGTTGAGCGTTTGTAGATTCCTTCTGGCAGCTGATAACTCCGCTTTTGCCTTGTTTGTCTGATCGATATATTGTTTCTGTTGATCTTGAAACGCCTTCATCTGATTCTCCCAAGCGGTGATAGAATCCTTGAGGTGTCGCAGCCACTGTTCCCTGTGCCGGCGGCGAGCTTCCCTCAACTGGTTCAGTTGCTTGGTGGCTTTGTTGATCTGGGATGAGGTTCGGTGAAGATCGGCTCCAATTCTTTGGGAATTGCTGGCTTCTTCTTTCTCCACTGCCTCCCTCACCTCGGGTGGTGCCTTGGAAATGTCTGGATACTGCTTGCGTACAGCGATCAAAAGATCGCTGGCTGGGACCTGGGCAGTCCCGCTCACAATGTTGCCCACAGATGCAGAACTGGCTTGACCCTTGCTGGGCATATTGCTCGCCACAAAACTTGCATCTGGTGACGGCCACGGAGGTATCTGTGCCGGTGCTGCAAAAGGGGATGGCTGCAACGTCTCGTTTCCCCCAGTCGCACCCTTTCCACGACCTTTCCTGGCTCGATTGCTCTTGCTTCTTGCAGGCTTCAATGCCTGGCGCCCCGAACGGGGCGATTCCCAGCCTTTCCAAGGCTGCCCTTCTTCTTCGGCTTCCCAGGCATATGCTGGTTGCGTCTCGTGACGCCAGCCGGTTGTCCAATGCCTCTTGCACATCGGACAGTGCACATGAGATTTCTTGTTGAGGCGGTTGCACACACAACGCCAGGGGTAAGAGTCCTCTAATTGGTATCGATTCATGGCCTTCGAGATCAGCTTGAGATGATGACCGTCTCGGGAATGATGGGTTGCCAGTGTACTTCGAATCCAAAAAATTTGACTCTTTGTCAATTCCTGTCCCTTTTTGGAAAACCTGTGCCACAGGGATCGGGCAAGTGCCCTGTGTCTCCTCTGTCTTCTCCTTTGCGTCGCTGTAACAGTAATGATTGATGAAGGCCACCGCAAGGAAGTACCAGAAGTAGAACCGTACGATGCGATGCATTCACTATCAAACGTGGGACCAATCCCCAGCGTTCGGCACGCTGCAGAGCCAGAGTTGTAAATAACCAGAGAAAATCAATCCAGCTGTAAAACAACCACCGGCAGCACACAGAGAAAATCAGAAATTTGTAGTTGAAACACCAGGGCTAGCCAGTTCAGTGTACAACAATACAAAATGAAAAGTAAATCCGAAATCAATGGTAGCCAGAACACCAGTACGGTCCAGGGAAAATCACCTGCACCCAATGATGCACGTTGCCAAAGAATAAAGACCAGCGCACAGCAGTTCAGTCTTAGATGAAAGGCCCGATGCGTCAAACGCCAATGGACCCGCGGGTATGTCAACGGCACCCGCTAAGGTCAGGCTAAAGGATAGGAACGGTGGGGCCGCGAATCCTGAGCCAGACCTTCATGCTATACACACAGTGAAAAAAAAATCTTTTCCAGGCTCTTTCACGTTTTATCACTAAAATGAGCCGCACATGATATGGAGGTGTCCTCCATAGTCACCATACGTTTCAATACGAAGTCATGGTCATCCATAACGACTGGATGCCATAACTTGGATGATAACTGGAGTACCCCCATGGCTTAGGAAACCTCCATATCCATCAGCCATCAAACTCCAAGTGACTCACTTCCTTGCACTAGGTCGTTTCTTGGCTGCCAGGGCGGCTGCCCTGTGGGTTGACACAGAGGACCAAAATTCTGGTGGTTCACGATTGGGGATCCATTATATACCATTATATGCCATTATATACCATGATATACCATTGTATACCATTATATAATCAGAAAGCACACAGCGGCGTGGTGCAAGCAACGGTCTTTTCCTGTAGCGGAAAGGGCGCCCTTCGGGCCAGTAGATGCAGCGGTCAATCGAACCTGGACATGTGTGGCAGCATGATGTACCTGAAAGGACAGTTGGATTTTCTCACCCGTCCTCAGGTGCAGATTGGCTCTTTTTTTTTGAGCTGCTTTCGCTGGTGTCTTCCGGCGCGGATCTGCTCCTTCTTTTTCAGCGCTTCTTCGGTAGGAGCCAGTTTCCATGTTCCAGAGGACAAAGCTTCCTGCAGCAATTCACGTTCACATCCAACCTTGGTTAAAACATCGGCAAGCATCTGGCTGGTGTCGATCCACATGATCTCACACCCTTCCTGCATCAGCTCGCGCACTTGCGCAACCAAGATTTTCACTCGCTTGTCTGTGGGCTGTCCAGCATCCTTGGCAACGGTGGACTGCAAACTTTTCGCATCGGTAAATGCCAGTACTGGTTTGAGCGCATACTCTGTCTCGAGAGTGGTCAGCGGCACATGGGGATGCATGATCTCTCGCAAGAGAGAAGCCACGTAAATTCCAGCTTCAACACCTGCAAGAAATGAGTTCGCTTCAGCTGCCAGGGTGCTACGGCAAACACGTTTGATTGATGTAGATGTCGCCTCCAAAATGAGGACTGGTGTCTCGGTGCCATCCTTGATGGAGGGCAGAGTCAAGCCTACCAGGTATCCGCACTGAGATCGCAAACCTTCTGTGTTTGCAAAACTTGAATCAGCACATACAAAAACAGCACAGTTTTCCAAAGTGAGATTGGAAGGTTTGAAGCACCATTGGGCATCAGCGCTATCCTTCAGCATCTTGACGGCCTTGTTGAGGTCAATCACATTCTTGATGCATGGGTGGCCAATGCTTTGGGAGGCAATGCTGACATTCACCATAACGTCAGGCCTCGTCTGTCGTGCTATCCAACCCATACTTCCAATCAAGGCTCTGAACTCGCTCTTTTCTTCTTCAGAGAGTGGCAGGTTTGGAAACTTTCTTCTGTGCTTGTCGAGCATCTGGTACTCCAGGCCTTCAATGGCATCGACCTGTTCCAGAGAGATCGACTTGTCAGCATGCTGGATTAAGTTCTTTCCACAAAAACGAAACTCAGTGTCCTTCTTCTTCAGGTGAAGGCGTTTAGTGAGCTCCTTCATGCATACTTCGTACTTTTCACCAAAGCCACAAGTAATCAAATCATCAACGTGGCTTGCCATGACTCCAATCAAAGCAGGTGGAGAGGTTGATTCATCGTAGAGGTAGAAGAGGGCTAGCTCAATCTGGGAGAGGATCCATCCACATTCCTTCGCATCATGAAGCAGTTTAATCCACCAACTGCGGCCAGCATCTTTCGTCCCATATATGCTACCACGAGCCCTGAAAAGTGTGCCTGGCTGAACTCCAGGTGGTGGTGGCCGAGGTGCACGCAGGACCAGAAGTCGGGCAATTCCATGACTCTGGAGTTATGCAGTGGAGGCATCATATGCTGCTGCAATCCATCCCATCAAAACGGAAATGCAGCAAACCAAATTGAAAGCAAGCAAAGAACATGTTGGTGAATCAGAGCGTATGTTCTGCTCATCCTCTTGACAACCTTGAACAACAAGCCGTGACTTGGCTTCGAATGGGAACTCCTTGTCGACCTGTTCTTTGGTCTTTCCCGTCTTCTTGGCCATGTGCCGGGCAATGAGCCTTGGCTTGCTATTCTTGTCAGTGTGAACCCACCTGGTGCCAATGACTTTGGTGTCCTGTGGCAACGATTGGATCTCTTCCTCCGTCAGCTCAGCAACTGCTTGAAACTTCTGCCATGAAGTCCATTCTTTGAGCATGGAGGCGTCAAAAAGCTTCCGATCTTCAGGGCTGAGGCTGTTGATGTTGATCTCTGACTTGGCTGCCTTGCCGGTCATGAAGGCATAGTTCAGATTGCTTTCTTGCTCAGGCTCCAGCTCTTCAGAGCTTCCAGAAAGGTCACCAGCTAGTTCAAGTCGGCGACGTCTTTGCACGGCAGTGCTGATACCAGGCCAAACTTCCTCCCAGGGCTCCTCATCCACATAGTATGGTCCCGACTCACGCAATCGTGCTTGAGCTGTTGGACGTAGGGCTCGGACAGGGCCTGTTCCATGACCATCAAGTAGATCAGGTTGTTGCATCGCAGTGGTCAAACTGGGAGTCCCAGGCGCAGCAAAAGGTGGCCTTGGTGTCGTTGATCTGGCTGGCTCAGTCACGGCAAGTCTTGGTGTCGCAGGTCTTGTTGGCTGGGGCTCAGGTTCCTCAGCCGTTCGCTGGCGCAAATGCCCAGTGTGGGCTAGTTGGGGAGCTTGTACTTCAACTGGTTGAGGCTGTAATGCAATCTGTGGCGTCATGGGCGCATTGGCAGTCTCGGTGTCGGCAGCGTCAATCGCTGCTTCCAAATCAAACTCATCATTCTCGGGTACAGGTGGAAGTACCTGTTGTGCTTGTTGTTGTTGAGCTCGTTGAGGAGGTTGAAAAAGAGATGGTGATGAAGATGATGATGTTGTGTTGGATGTGTGAGGTGTTGGTTGTTGTTGTCCTTGTTCATGTTGTGCATGTCGTTGCATTGGTCGCGGAGCACCCAAGGGTCTGATGTCGATGAAAGATCTTGCTCCTCGAAGCTGCAGGTTTGCAACAGCATAGTGGGGCACGGTGTGAGCGGCCAAAAGCTCGTCCTCACTTGCAAACCTCATCTGCTCGCCAGTGGTCAAAATGACACTGGGCCCATAGCGAATCCAATAGGAGTGTGGGGCACCTCCTTCAGTTGGCGCGTCTGCATCTTCAAGACGACGTGGATTTCTCAGCTCGACTCCAATCACGCGAGCTGGCCCAAACCATTTGTACTGTCGAGAAGTGCCAGGCAGTTGTTGGGCACGGTAGAAATACACGTAGGAACCAACTGGGAAGGGGCCTCTCACAGGCGTTGATTGCCTCAGCAGCGCTCTTCTGACACGAGCATCAGTGTCCATCTTGATCTGGGCAATCTTGGCGCTTTCGCGTATGGCAAGTGTTTTCGCCATCTGGCTGGCGGGATTCTCAGCAGCTTCAAGAACTTCAAGTCTTTGGGACTCTTCATCATTGAGCAAGGAGCCAGGAAGTCGAAGTTCTGGTACTCCAAGGACCCATTGAATGGGGCTGTAGCCGCTTGTTCTTGGGAAGGAATTTCGGGTCTGAGTCACGATTGATGTCGCGGTCAAGACATCGTCAAGTCCAGAAATCTGTGACTCGTGAACGACTTTGGCCCATAGTTCCTTCCACAGGTCGCCTGCTTTCTCACATTTGCCTCCCTTCCATGGAGCTTCAAGAGGCATGACTTCTTGTTCAACTCCAAACTGCTTCAAGTGGTCCGCAAAAATGGCCATGAACTCTTTGCCGCGGTCAACTTGGATGGAGTGTGGAAGGCCAGCCCATGAAGACCAAGAGGTCGTGAAGTGGCGCAGGACTGCTCGTGAGGCAGGAGGACCTTGAACTTCACCAACACAAGCAACAACTTGAAATCCAGTTGCATCATCGACAATGTTGATGAAACCAAAAGTAGTTCCTCGTGAATCTTTGGCATACATGGTGTCCAAAAGGAGATGCCTGTTGAACTCATACTGGTTGGGGAGTCGTACTGGTCGTGGTCGTTTTCTCCTGATGGATTCACCACAGCTATCACAAGCCATAAGTCCAGCGGCCTTGATAGCTTCAATCTTGGCGCCTTGGCGTCTCAAGATCCGCTGAAGTGTCACAGCTGATGGATGACCAAAGTTCACGTGGAGGTCCCGCACAATCTTGCGGATCTCAGGGTCGATCTGGAGCCATTCAGTTCGCCTCTCACCCTCAGACTTGTTCAAGATGGGATCGAGGTCATAGGCCTGTCTGGCCCGGAAGTCTTGGTCACCTTCCGCATCTTGTTGTGGAACCGGTAGTTCATCAGGAAGGTCTCCAGAGGCGTCAGGTCTGACGTACACTGGTGGTGCTTGGTATTGTTCGGTCAAGGTTGATACCCGTCCTTGTCTCCTTCTCCGCTTTGGTGAAGAGGTCTGAGCAGGTGAAGGTACAGGACGTGTTGGAAAGGCATCATGAGTCGCGGCCAAGGACTCCTCAAAGACATGCTGCTCAATGTGCGCTTGTTGGATTGCGCATTCCAAAACCATCTGGTCAAGTTTCTTTGGCCATTCAGCAGCTTGAGCAGTTCTTGGACCGAACTTGTTGGCTCCTTCAAGTGGTTGATGTTGCAGGCAGTCGCACTTGCAGTCGGAAAACACAGACTCGGCTGCCAGCATGGTTGTCAAGTAGTAGCTGGGCTTGTGATGAGGAAGTCCATTTTCTCGATCACAATACCCAACTTGACAGCCGTCAACCTTCAAAGCCATCAGAGAGCCATTTTCGATCAGGGCACGGGTTTCAGCCATCTCGGGCTCTTCAATGCTGTCGGAGCCATAAGGCTGTTCGACAAAAACATGTCTCTTGCCCTTGACCCTGTCAGTGATGACCTTGTTGACCAAACGTAGCAAGGGTCGTGACTCTTCGCGCAAGTTGAGGACAGTGATCTCAGATTGGCCACCCTTGGCAATGTTGAACTTTGACCAGTTACCCCAAGGTCCGCAGGGATGTGTGATCACCGTGAGGTATGGATCCTCATGCTTCATGTCTCGGTGAACCCTGGTCAATCCAGTGGGAGAAGTTGCATCCCATGAAGTGATGGAAGAATCCAATGGCACTCCAACCAACATGCCGTAGAAAGTTGCCAAGGTTGTCAAACCCATCTGCCCAGCGAAGAGTTGCTTGATCCAAGTGCGTCCAACTGGAGGCTTGTTGTTGATCTTGACAGAGGATCGGCCTTGAAGCTTCCGAGTCCTGAGAAGATCTTCAGACTCGAGCACATCATTCATGAGGGCTAGCTTCTTGCCTTTCTTGTTGGTGGTCTTGCGGACAGTGAAGTCGCCCTCAGCCACATAGGACTCAAACAGGTCTTCGTCCTCGCAAACCAAGCATTCTTCATCTTCAAGTCGCCAGCCGGGAGCAGGCCCGATGATCTCAAGCTCATCAAGTAGGGAAAGTTCATAGCCGGGAGGTTCATAGCCGGCATTGCTCGAGGCTGCATCGCTTGGAGGAGGCTTTGGGCTGTCTTCTGCCGCAAGTTGTTCATCATTGGTCGGCCTCAAGAGCTGCATCGCATCCACCAGGGAGTCAAGTCCAAGTCCATCTCCCGGAGGATGGTTGCCATCAGTGCTTGACGCAGCATCGCTTGGCAAGGAGTAGTGGCTGGGAGATCCCTCTGGTTCCGCAGGCTGAAGTCCATCGGTTCGAAATCCATCGAAGCCTGAAAGGAGGTCGTCGCCAAAGTCCAAAAGGCTGACGGCCATGTGACCCCGGAAGGTCCGGATCAGAGGCAAGTCCACAACTCCCAAGCCCTTGAAAGAGACGGTATTGTCAGAAAGATTGATGACCGTGCCAAGCTCTTGCATGAAAGGCCTTGAAAGCAAAAGTGGTGTCGTGCCTTCGACTTCGGCTGAGTGAAGTGAGCCATGTGCTCCACCAATGCCGACAGGAAAAACTTTGACATGATTTGAAATGGTTTCACCACCAACTCCTCTGAAACGTTGCACCTTGTCCTTGACCTGAGGGATCAAGCCCTTGGTCTTCAAGACTTCTTCAAAGGACTTGGCCCAGCTGCTGCCATGCATAGTTCTCGTGCAGCCGCTGTCAAGGATTGCAAGGCCAGGTGCGTCCAGCTCAGAGAGGGAGTAGTTGACAGTGACGTCAACGAGGTCGTTGGCATCTTCGACCATCATCACATCGCAGTAGTGAATGGAGACTGCATGAACATCATCAGGATGGTGTTGAAGTGGAACTTGAATGCACCTGCTGGTTTCCATCTGAGCAGGATCTTGGGTGCGCTTGCCCAAAAGTTGATGTGGTTCAAGCTCCGTGGACTTCATCATCCGCATCGCTGAGAGATTGACCAAACGCAGTCTGCCAAACAGGTAGAAGGCGTACCTGTAGATCTCTGGAGCCATCGGCTGGTTTCCCAAAGCCATCTGCATCACTTGGATGTTGTAGGAGGTGAAGTCAGGCGAGGGGTATGATGCCACCTCACAAAAGGGTCTGCCAGCAAATGGTCCATCTGAGAACAAGGTTTGATCGCCCGGCAGGGGCTGCAAGATGCCGAGCTCTTCTTGTGGAAGTTCAGGAAATGGTGGCAACTCCTCAAAGGGGTCAACCTTCACACCATAGAGCCATACAGATGCTTGTTGGCCGCGCTGTTGACCACGCACAATCTTGGCAATTGGTGGCTGCTTCGCAGTGGTTGATGTTGAACCCGGAGAGGAAGGTGAAGAAAGAACTTGCCAACCAGCTTCATGATGTCGCTGTTGATCTTGCACAGGGTACGGCACTGAAGGTGGATCAGGCCTCGGGCCATACTTGGGATCTGCAGGAACTTCACCACCAGGTAGTCCTGCAACAGTCAACTGTGCAACGCGGGCAGCGAGCTCTCTGGATTTTGCCGCTGAACCCCACTTCGTACACATTGCAATTTGGGTCAAATAGGCCCAAAGCTGAACAGGTTCTTTGCGTCTGGCCACGATGACATTCTTGTTGCACTCTTTGCAGGTGATGTGTCTCGTGTGGCCATTTGCCCCACGATGGAATTGGCGCTCAGATCCACCATGGTATGACGCATGCTCGCAAAGTTGAGGGGCGCGAAGGGCCATCATCACATCGAAACACTTGGTCTCGACTGGCAAGGAATCAGTGAAACGGTTTTGAACATCGCTTGGGTTTCCGTAGGTCTCGTCAGGGACCTTGTCATATTCATGGACCTGGTCATTCTCAGAAACGTGCGTATACTCAAAAGTGTGCACATTCTTTGGAGTGGGCTCATATGCAGGGGCCAGGTCATACGCAAAAGTCATGTCATTCGCAGGAACTGCATTGGAGTCAGGAGAGAGGTCAAAGGAAATCTTGTGCGCATAGTGGACAAGTTGCTCATCGTCAGACTCGATCTTGTCATGCAGCACGAAAAAGTTGGTGCTCTTCTTGACAGGCGATCCAGGCTTCTTCTTCGGGGATGCCTTGCCAGAAGACTTTCCATGACCTTTGGATCCTCCACCCTTCTTGGAAGCACGAGGACATTCAGGATCTCCAACCCAATGACCCTTCTGATTGCATGCTGTGCATTGAGTGACCGTCTTCAGGAAGGAGACGGCAGCCTTTCTCTGGTCTTTGGCCTTCTGGTCAAGGCTCATCTCACCCTGGGCCTTGAAGGGGAACGTCTGAGTTGCCGAAGAGCTAGGGTTCGGACGCTTGATGAACTTCTTCTTGAAAGAGCCGCGATGCTGAGCAATGGTCGCAAAGGCCTCAGCAACGGCTTCATCCTCCAAAGCTTCCGGCGGCACCTCATTCATCAAGGTCTCCAAGGTTTCGTCCTCAGAGTAGGCCACATAGGTCTCGTCATCCACCTGCTCATATTCAGGGGACTCTTCCTCAGCAAAAACCTCGTCATCTTCAAGGATGTCCTCATCTTCAAACTCCGCAGCAAAGATCTGCTTCTTGGGGAAACCTTTCCAGCGCGCTCTGCTGTGCATCGAGAGCTGATTGCTCCCACGTCCAGTTCCCAGGAAATCTTTTCGAACCACAGGTCGCGTAGAGGTCACATTGGGGAACTGAATCCTCAATGCATGAGACACTTTCTTGTAGTCATACTCGTTGTTCACTGACGAAAGGATGCCCTGCTGCTCACGTAAATCCAAACCTGAAAAGAGCAAGAGTAGCATGCACTTCAAGTTGTCGCTCAAGTTGGTTTCACTGTTGGCCTCCTTGAGTCTGGCAAAGGACAACTCCCTTCGCACTATGTATTGTGCCATGGTCTCATTGTTTCTCCTCCACACCTCTTTGCTGTAGAAGTACTCCAAAAACAACTCTTGGACCCGGACAGGCGCTTCAGTGGCCAAGCTGCCCTTCAGCGTGTTCAGGAGTAAGTTCATGCCCTCTTCAGTGGCCTTGCCCTCTGCAGTCTTGGTTCGAAGTTCGCTGTGACTCAGTTTGCGCACAGCTTCATATGCAGTACCTTGTAGTTGGGCACGAAGGTGAAGAGGCGTTGCTATTTGGAGTGAATCCTGACCCTCACGTCCATGAAACAAATCCCATGCACGCTCTAGGTACTCTTCTAGGTATTCTACCTCTCCAGCAAACTGTGGAACACCATGTCTATCCGTTTCCAACCTTCCATTCACTGAGAACCCAGACATGGATGCCGTAGAGCTCATCGAGCTTGTAGTGCAAAGCCAAGGGAGTAGCAGCTCAACCCAGGCACGTAGATGCCGCAACCACCGTAGGTCTTGGCAAGGAAGTAGAGGCGCAGTAGCGCTGGTGCAGGAGCGCAGCAGCGAAGCGTATGCCCTAGTCAAAGGGCTCCGCTTACCATCAGAAAGCACACAGCGGCGTGGTGCAAGCAACGGTCTTTTCCTGTAGCGGAAAGGGCGCCCTTCGGGCCAGTAGATGCAGCGGTCAATCGAACCTGGACATGTGTGGCAGCATGATGTACCTGAAAGGACAGTTGGATTTTCTCATATAATATACCATTGTATATATATATATATACAATTATATACCATTCTATACCATTCTATACCATTCTATACCCCTATATACCACTATATACCACTATATACCACTATATACCACTATATACTATATACCACTATATACCACTATATACCACTATATACCACTATATACCACTATATCCCACTATATACCACTATATACCACTATATACCACTATATACCAACATATACCAACATATCTCAACCACAACTTATGACCCAGAAAAGTTGTTTGATGTTGTTTGGTCAGCCAAAATGTTGGTATTTTCGACATCAACCCTGGGTATCTCAGAAACTCAAGTTTCACGAAAAGGACATCCACAAATTTGGAAAGGTCCCGTCCCTTTCCACACATGTGCGCAAAATTGATGGCAAATTTTCAATGGATTGGTTTTCACGGGAAAATATACAGGAAAACCCCACATGCAATGGGAAAATCATTGGTTTCCGATAAAGATTTTCCCTTAGACCAATCCATTGAGATTTGGGAGATATCGCTTCAAAATTATGCACACGCATGACCATGACATGACTTACAAAGGATCGCTATTTGAGTCCCATCGCTTAATTGAAAAAGTGTGTACAAATGATTTGTAGACCGCGGTGCGTCCCTTGTTTTCCATTGCCGAAGTTTTTGCGGGACGCATTTGAAGGTAAGGTCAGAAATGGGATACCCTGGTGACCACGAGCCTAGTTCTAGTTCAACATGTTCTCATTGATGTGTGTTTTTAGCTTGTGAATCCACTTTCACATTGGGTTTTTTTGTTGGTTTCCATGTGTTCCCAAAAAACAAAACACAGGTAGATCATGTTCCCGTGGCACCTTGTAGCATCATCTTTCAGTGCCACATGTTGAACAGCCAGCCCTTCGCCCGTTTTCCGTTTCTTGTTCTCAGCCTGCCAGGGGTCGTGGAAGACATCTGGTCTGGCTGAATGGGGATATCTATGATTAAGCATGGGCTTTGGGGATTTTGTGCAAAGCCACATGGGGGTAGGCTCCAAAGAGAGGGGCAAGACACAAAAGCTGGTTTCTATATCATATATATATATATATTCATATATGATACAGAAATCTGCTTAATACGCATTTTCAGGTTTCCAACTGTTCTATCTGTTTGGGGGTTGCTTTTTACTGCTACGCTAACATTTGGGAGCACCAAATTCACACTGAAGTTCCCAGTCCTGCTATGATTTACCCCTGCACTGATCTCAAAATTGGTTCACGTCACCTTTTAACCAGTGTCCAACCACTAGTTAAGTGATGTTTAACTTTTAAAACATCCAGAAATATGAGGAAAAAAAACCTGTTTCATTGGAAAAACATTTTTTCACTCCTGTTCACTCCTGTTCACTCCGCCTTCACAGCTGGCACCATCTCCTCCAAATGCGATGTGCCACTGCGCCACAGCTTCGACCCCCGCACTGTGGGACGCTGCGCGTCCAAACGCTGACGCTTGCTGCAGGCGTAGACCGATCGACCAGCCATGGTGAACTGTTTCACTTTGCCACCCGCGGCCGAGGTTTTTTTGCCATAGCAAAAGGAAGTTTTTTTGGTCCCCCAAATGGATCCTGTCTTGAAGCCCGCCTGCATCTGTTTCACCGCCACATTCCAAAGTTTCAAAATCTCCGCTTCCGTCAGGGTGTTGCTGGGCTGCTTAGGATGAATCCCCGCCTCGTAGAGGATTTCGCTGCGGTAGATATTTCCCACGCCTGCCATCACGGACTGATCCACCAGGACGGTGCCGATGGGTTTGGAACTGCTACAGGCCTTGATCAAGGCATCGGGCGTTGCGTCTTCACGGAGAGGATCTGCTCCCAACTTGGCGGTGAGGCTGTCGTACAAACTGCTGGGACCTGGGATGAGAACGACATAACCTGGGACATTCAAACATAAAATGCATAAAAGATTAGAGTGACTAGAGACCTGCGCACTTTCAGAAAACTTCATGTTGTGGAGCATCTTCAACATCTGGGGAAGAGGTTGAAAATGAGGCAGCCAGTTGAGATGTTACACATCCACATTGCTGTGTTCCAGCCACTTGTCAACACGCTGATGAAGCCGCTTCAGCGAATTGATCAAAGCGCTGCTCAAAAATCAGCGATGACTCACTGCATGGAAAGGTTTAAACACACATAAAGAAACAACAAAGCACACAACTAAAGTTGGCTCCAAACCATGCCAAAAAATTGGATGGCCATGAATTGCCTACCAAAAATGACCAAAATGTTGATGTCTTCCCATCTTTTTCCCCACCAGCGCATGAACCAAGCCGCCATGTTTCACCACCATGGCTGACAGGTGCGCCACGAGGGGTGTCCCATTGTCCACAGTGGACAGGCGCAGACGGATGTTGCCCGTCACTGCCGGTTCCTCGCCTTTGTAAACGGCAAAGGCTCCTGCCGGCTCCGGCCATGGCTGGAAAAGCCATGGCTGGAAACTGGGAAAAATATGGAAAAATCCTCAAAACATGATTGATGTGGCTAATGTCAATCGTATCCAAAAAGGAAACATGGATACGGCCATGGCTAAGAATTCATGAAGCTACAAAACCATAGAAAAAATATACACTGAAGCATCAATACTTGTGACTTACTTAAATTATGACTTAGAAAACTGGGAAATGCGCGCCTTTCTGACCTCGTGAGGGGAAAACACTGGTTTCACTGCGTTACCAAAACCAATAGAGACCTGGTGGATAATGTTCACTTGTAAAAGGAAAGCGGAAAATACATAATTACTGAAAAAAAAATCTGAAATTCCTTCAGGACCATCTCAACAAAAGACTTTAATAATTCTGTTTCGTCTCAATTTTGAAAGCCACTCCTGCCAGGCCAAAATGAACATGAACGACCACCACTTTGCTGCCCTGTCCGAAGAAATAGAACATATTTTTTCCGTGAACCTCAATTCTGTTGAGGACTCCACCACATTTCATGATGGCTAAAGCACCTCCTTTGAAGCGGCCATTTGGGGATTTCGCCTGCATCTTGCGGCCCACTAAGGATTTACGGTGCTCGGCCGCAATCCGATGGCAGCCATCGCCCTCCACCATGATGGCGCCGCTTGGCGCGGCAAGCTGCGGCGCCAAGCCGCCAAGCGGTTTGATGCTGAAAAAAACACCAGAGATTGCTGGACTGATACATAGACAGCAGGCTAGGTAGACAAAATGGATGGATATTATATTAGATATATCATATATATATATGATTATATATATACAGTATATATTTCTTTACCTCTGGCACATTGATGCGATCACACAGCGGCCAACGCATAACAAATTCCAAATCATGCTCGGTGTTCCCCCCTCCGGCGGACTGCTCGGTGAGCGGGAATCTTTCCAAAGCCGGAGGTGATGTTTACATCACCTCAAGCCATGTGGTTTCCTGGAAAGAAACCATCAAAATTCAGAACTTTGGTTGGTGAAATCTCAGAAATCTCAGAAAACACATGGGAAAACTCATCTGCACCGGCATGGAAATCGATTTAACTGACCGACGGAAATCGTGAAATCGTCTCGAGACAAGCTGCAAAGCTGGCTGTTGCGGCGGAGCCGCACCAAGCCTGCGGGATTTAGAGATCTTGATCAAACTCCACAAGAGTTCTACGAGTATTCGAATTCTGGAGCTTACCCTCTGGTTATGACTAACACTTTGCCATGGTTTTTCGATGGCCCTTTATGCCCATAGAAATAGATGGTTTACCGTTCTTAATAGCATGGGTGGATGTTCCATGGCTAGCCCTGTTAGTCATAACTTCATAACCAGATGGTAGATTCCATGAAAATCCAAAGTCCAAAAATGTTCATGTCCACATAAGAATGTGCTCTCCGCAGCCTTCCTCCAGGCTGCTCTGGCCGCCCTGGAAAGCAATCAAATCGCATCAGGACTTGCTGCGATTTTTGGAGCACCACAAATAGAAATCCCCAAGAAATGTGGTTCAAACATAGATCATACATGGGTGTTTCTTTAAATGGTGGATCCCCAAACCAGGGGTTTCAATACTGGGGTGATCTGGTTTTGATGATTTGGGGTACCCCTATTTTGAGAAAACCTCCATTTGGAACATGCCCATACATGCCCAACATGAAGGCCCATGAAGGCTTCAGCTGGAGCCCATTTCAATGTCACTGAGACTCCAGCTGAACTGGCTCGGAAATCCACTTGAAGCCTCGGCTGTTCATCCAACCCAGCCCCCCACCATGCCATATATCAGGCAGAAAAAGAAAAATATCGAGGGCAACATGTGTTTGGTACTACCATCTGGTAAACTAACACTTTGCTAATGAAAATGGCCATAGAAATAGTGACTTTTCCCATTAAAAATTGTGATTTTCCATCGTTTTTTGTATGTTTACCAGAGGGTAAGTAGAATATGGCTTCTACATCCACTAGATACAACATCTTGTCAGCATTTACCAAGCTGAGCTGCGCTCATATGATAGTACATGTTATCATATCCAGTGGTTAAATACACATTATATTGCAACATTAATGTCAATCCCAACTAGATGTTTCCCATGTTTTCCCAACTCATATTATCATAATTAATTCCGAATCATGTCACCATGTCCGTAAAGTTGGGGAAAACATGGGAAAAACACCTTTAAATCCAGCGGTTCGAATCAGCATTTTCACGGCCTCGCAGGGGAAGCCTTCACCATCAGCTGCCGTGAAGGGCTGGGGGAGGCCGTTGTCGAACCTGCCAGGGTTTTTGAAGAGAAATCGACATCATTTCTATCTTCACTGAATTCTTCCATCAATGTTAAAACTGCCAATGGATTGATTGGATGAGATCAGATTCTATAGGTTCAGAGGTGTGCTTGCATTTGCCCCATTTTCCTACTATCTCAGTTCAAAGAAAAAGTTCATCAAGTCATCCGATTTCGCGACTCGATTTATGACAGTCATGTCCTGAGTAGCGCACCACCCACATGAGGAGACTCCTCCAGATCCCAGATGCAAATCTTTTCCAGTTGGATCTCCAAGAAAATCATTCTAGCAATGGTCATCTTGCTGGTTGGTGGTTTTTTCCTAGCCCTCTGAAAAATGATGGTTTGTGAAAGTCAGTTGGGATGAGGAACTTCCCAATCTGATGGGAAAGTCATAAAATTCCATGGTTCCAGTCACCACCAACCAGCTTGTCTTTGTGATCTCGTGAAAACGGGTTCCTACACGTGGTTTTGTCCAAAGATCTTGGGTTTTTTGGATGGTTGTTTGGCATATGTTTTTCGCCAAAATCCACGGCCTCATCATCCGTGTCCCCTTTTTAATTGCCATAAATCAGGTCCCTAATGTTCACACCGAACAGGATTTATGAATGTTCATCGGCCCCCAACATATGCAATTTCGATCTATGTCATATAGATTTTGCTCCACCCCCATGTTTGAAATTCGCTTGGTGATTTTGATGTTCCAACTCCATCAACGAAGACTCTCCTGGGATTCCTCAGTGCGAGTGCTCACGCGTCGCCTTATGGTCCAACGGCCACATGGACCCACATTTTTCGGGTCATTTCTAGCAAACCATGTGGAAACCATTGAAGCGTAGGGCTAAAGAAGGAGAAAAAATCCCTTCCCCTGCTATTGAGCACCCCTCAGAAATTATGGTGCTAGTAGGGATTCAGATGAGACATCCTGATAAAAATGAGAGATTCTGAGCTCCGGGCGGGCTTGATTCAGGTTCCTGTTCACAAAGCTCCAAATGCTCCAAAGCCAATGATGTTTATCATCCCCAATTTGACCAATGGGAATGTTTATATATGTTTATATATGTTTATATATGTTTATCATCCCCAATATGAAGATGCGGAGCGCAGCGGAAGGTTGCAGCTTTTTCACAGCCGCAAGGCTTGTGTTTCCCCACACAAGAAGGGCTTCTCGAGCCCACGTCCGCTGACACACAGCGAAAGGTTGAAAACAGCAACAGGCTTTGTTCAAGGTGGTGTTCCCTATACAAATCCACATGCACCACAACTTGTGTTGAACAAAGCATGTATTTCAACTAGTCGTTTGTAGCCCATCTCCGTTAAGGACCATTTTCCAAGGTGCATAATTCTGTTGAGGAACTTGGGGGCCATCCTTTTGGTAAGAGAGTCGGATACCATGTTATTTCCACCAACCCAACGGACCTGGCCGCCAGTGGTCTCAAGGTCGCCTTTCAGGATGGTCAAGTCAATGGCCGTCCTCTTGTCGTCGATATGCGCCGATGTGTTCCTGCATTTCGTGATGGTGTCGTAGAGCGACCGGGAATCTGTCACGGCAATGAATGGCAGCTTACCAAGTTGTTGCTCCCAGTTCTCCAGCGAAAGGTCCTTTGCTAAAACCTCTGCCAAGAGGAATCGATGCCAATGAAGGTTGCCAATCCCCTGTAGCATCGACTGGCACTCTGCTGATAAGGTGTTAACGGTACACCTCTTCAACTTGTAGCTTTTCCAGCTTGCAATTGTAATGTTGGCCATGTCATCGGTGGTCTCCAACTTGTCGTCGTAGTAGATCAAGAGGTAGCCACCTTGGCTATGCTTCCTGGCAAGTTGAAGGAAACGTTCGTTGATGGGTTTTCGGGTCTCCTCTTCGACCTCGGTCTTCAGAAACGTGGTTGTTCCTGTCCATGGCTCGTTGTGCTTCTCCCTGATGGCCTCCTTGTCGTCCCAATTGTCCGTCATCTCCTCGTTGTTACAGGTCGTGGATCTTGTCCTCGAAATCTTGTGTAGATCAGGTCCATGAGGTGCAGCACCAGGATGGAAGAGCAGTCTTCTCGGTAGAACATGATGTCGTACCCAGCTGAATTCCGTCTCTTCCCAATAGTCCTTGTTGTTCTCTTCCATGTATTGCCTCCGGCATTTCCCCAGCTGGCGTCGGTGACGACTCCAACTCGAAGTCGCTCCATGGGGATCGGTTGTGTCAAGATCCCCAGACCAGGGTCCTTCTTTAGTTCCTCGGCCACGGCATTGGCCTCGATGATGTCTTTGATCATTGGGAGCGGCATTGACTGTTGAAGCAGTGCCACTCGGCCTGCCACGTCTGGCCTGGTTTCTTTGGCGACCCATGCTAGGGCTCCAAGTAGGGTTCGCAGTTGGTTCACCTCAGCGGCTGAACAGGTAGAGTACCTCTGTCGCTTTCGTTCTCGTTTCATGGGGATCATGTTGACCTTCTCCTCGATATAGGCTTTCTGGTGTATGAGGATGGCGCCACTGGATTGCTGCTCGGTGGTCTTGCCAGTGAACTTTCCGTTGCCAGTGGTGTATTTTCCCATCTTGTACTGGGAGCGAAGCCATTCCATGTGTTCCCAGTGAGCCGCTTCTCCACCATGTAGCATGTCGTCTGTGGCCAAGGCAATGATCCCGATGAGCTTCTGTTTGTCTTGGTCGAACAGCTGGAACAGACACGGGTCTGCCCGACTTCTCTGATATCCCCTGCCTTCCAGCACTCGTGAGAGGTGTTGGTACCATGCATATGGACCATCAGTTAATCCATAGCATGTCTTTCGAAGTCGGAGTAACTGCCGTGGGTGAAGGCCAGGAATCCCTTCTGGAGGGAGGGAGCAGTACAGCTCTCTTTGGATCTGGTCCCCTGAGTGAAAGGCCTGGGTGAAGTCCAGATGGCCAATCGTCCACTGATGGCTGGCCAGCATCTGGAGAGTGAACATCACGGTGTCCTTGGCAACCTGTGGTGTTGTTGACTCCAGGTTCTCAGCGTTGGCCTCGGAGTATCCCTTCATGACATGGCGGGCTTTGGCCTTCAGCATTTCACCAGTTTCGTCATCTAGTAGTAAGCCTTCCTTCTTTAGGACTTCTATTTCGTGAGGTTCAACGGCCTTCTCAGTGAGTACGTACCTGCTCTTCATGATCAGATCCCCCTTCTCCCTTCTGATTCTTTCAGATTCTTCTCTGCTCAAGACTTCATAGGCTCCTGACTTCAGATTGTTCTGAATCTCCTTGGAGATAGCTCGGTCGAACTTCTTCTTGTTGGTCAGCTGTAGTCGACCGTAGGAGACTTCCTTCCTATTCCGGGTCATTGTGATCTTCTCAAGCTCGCTGTAGAGGGTCTCCAAAAGTTCCATTCGGTGTCGTTTAGCAGGAGGTTCTCCTTCTTCTGGATGATCTGCGTATCGTACTTGTCCACGGTGATGTTCTTCAGCTGGGGGTAGTGCATCGTTGTCGGCCTTCTCATCTTCCGTCTCGTCCGGTAGCGGTGTAGTCGGCACCACGTCGGGGGAGTCAATCTCTGGTTGCTCTTCAGGATCATCAAAGATGCCCTCATTAGGCTGTATGCCCTCAGTGATGGCTTCAGTCCGTGGTGGTTCCACCAAGGTACTTCTTGCAGGTTCCGGCGGGTTCAGCTTTTGTCGCTTCTCGTCATAGATATCTGGTTGAAACTCAACCTCGGCCGCTGCATGCTTTCCTGTCAGTCTGAACTTCGGTTTCTGTGGTGGGATCTCCTCGTCATCCTCAATGGCCTGGTCATCCTCAGGGGGTTTCTCATCGAGGACGATATAGCCCTTGAAGTCCTTATCCTGAAGTTTCTTCTTGGTCTCTACGAGGTCCTGGATCCAGTCGGTGATGACAAACTTCTCCTCGTCCACGGCTGGTCGTAGATGTTCAGGACTTGCTTTCACGATGTGGTTGCGGTGAGCAACCCATACAGTGTTGGGCAGGTTGGTCAAAATGACCTTTGCTGGTCCATGCCAGAATGACGGGTTGTCTTTCTTGGCTCTCTGCATCCCCTTTTTCCAGTAGTACACCGTTTGACCTACTTCGTAGTGATGCCATTTTCGATGTCCAGCATGTAGTGCATTGCGTAGTGCCTGGTCACAGTCTGCCTTGTGGTAGGCAATGGCTGCGGCTTGTCGTAGATCTGCAGAACGTTGTACTTGGAGATCACCAGCCTGGTATCTGGAGGCGGTGGCATGGTCGTTGAAGCCTCCACTCAGATTAGTTCCAGGGATTCGAGGACTGTACCCCAGCATTCTCTGTACAGGGCTGAATCCGGATTTGTTGGCAAGTCGGTTGATAGTGGCCGTTGTCACATCAACTGCCTCATGCCACTCTTCCCAGGTAGTGCAGGTTACTTCCATAAGTGTCTTAGAAAGTACCTCCTTGAAGGACTTGCCGGCCCTCTCAGTGATTGACCTTTGGGTCGGTGTTTCTAAGGCCCCGGGGTCCAAGACGATGGATTGCTGGTCCATCATGTTCTGAAAGCATCCACGGAACTCTTTGCCCAGGTCGCTGTAGATTCGTTCGGGAGGTCCAAAGATGCGAATCCATTGGAACAGGGCACGTGAGGCTGACCGCGGTGTGTGGTCCTCCAGCGGTATCACCAGTTGAAACCTGGTGGCCCAGTCTACTATGTTGAGAGCCATCTTCAGTTTGCCTCCTGCCTTCAGACCTGGTAGATGGACGGTGTCCACTCCTACTACTTGGTTCGGAGTGAAGTCTCGTGGTGGTGCTGCAGCCCTGGCAGGGGCGATCCTCTTGTGTTTCTGGCAAACATCACATGTCAGCTTCTTCGCATACTCAATGGCCTCCTTCTTGGCTCCTGCATTCTGCAAGATCCTTGCTAACTTGTCATTTCCGATGTGTCCGAGTCCACAGTGTGCCCTCCGTACCAATTGGAAGGTGTTCAGGCCTCGTTCTCTTGGTAGTCGTCGTCCAGGTAGATCAACCTGTCCTTCTGTTGGCTCCTCAATCACCGCATCGTCGACAAGAGCGTTCTCGGGCTGTACGTCGGCATTCTCCTCAGGGTGGTCTGTGGCCATATACTCATGAGTGTTCAAGTTAAAGCACTCGAGGAGGACATTCTCAGTGCGGTAGATCTCGTTCATCAGGCCGTCCAGGGTAATGACATGGATGTGGTGGCGCACGTTGTGCTCCTGGTCGATGGTGTCGGCGTATGCCTGCAGGATGGTTCGAACCAGTTCGACTGGATACTCTTGAGCCTGCTTGGCCCTAGAGCCACCAGGACCATTGCCAAACACTGGTCGGTGAACGTGATCTTTGCTACAGACCTTTGAGGGCCTTTCGGCAACAGTTTTGTTATTGGTCAACCAACCAGTCGGCTTCTTGTACCTTTCACCTTCAGGAGCCTTCAAGTTAAACATGCATTGATCATTCCGTACCATGAGTGTGTCATGTAACTGTGCAAGCAGCTGTACACGTGGTTCTGACCATGCCTTGGAAGTAAGTGGTTGTTCAAAAACAAACGTCCCTCCATATGCCCTGACAAGTTGACAGATTTCACATGCGAAATTCAGCAAGACCTTTGCCTCAACAAGCCTTTTGAGAAATTCCCTATCCTTTTGGGGGTCTTCCCGATACTTCTGATTGAGGTTTTGGAGAATGCTGAACATGGTGCAAGGCGATGACACAAGCATGCAACCCGGTTTAACACTCTGAACATACCTTCGGACCTCTTGCCTGTTCTTCGCTTTCAGTAGATCATGTCCTAAGGTCAAATCAAACGCCATGCCTTGAGTAAGACCCACACCTGCTGCCTGGGAACCAAACCGTTTTGGATTGAACACTTCGGCAACCACTCGGGCTTGTTTATTTGTCACGCCCATCAGTCCCGCAAGCCGGCGGAGAGGTTTCTTATCCTTGATCCTGGTTGGATCTGTTGGATCAAAAATTTCAACAGCGTACTGTTCAAACACTTGCTGAGTGGTCCGGTCTGGACCTTCGCCAAGAAGGGTTATAATCTCCTTCCACATGACTTCGGTCTGTGTCAAAGCAGCCCCGGCTTTCCGAAGTAGTTGTTTCACACCCCTACTTTTCATGTCAACAACCTCCTCAGCATTCGTGTTGGTTGAGTCACTCAGCGGTTGACTCGGGATCCTGTCCAGACCCCTGCCGGTTCCAGTGCCTGGGACCTCTTCCACTCCAGGAACTCCTCGTAGGTGGGCTCGTTCGGCTCCAGCTTCTTCTTGCGGTTCTTCTCGCGTTCCTTCTCTTTCTGAATGCCGGCCTCGGTGAGCTCCTCCTTGGTGATCTTGCCGCAGATGGCACACTTCTCCTGGATCTTGAAGTGGTTGGAGCCCGACTTCAGCACCTTCTCGTGCTTGCAGTGCCGTTGTGCCTGCTGTAGAAGTTGGGATGCCGTAGAGCTCCTCCGTGACGTAGTGCTCCTCCGGGTTGTAGTTGATACCACCGTCTCGGTGTCCATCTCCTCCTCGGATGCCTCGATGAGGTTCGTGTTGAGGTAGGGCTGGATCAGAGTCCACATGAAGGTCCGGCACTGTTGATCGCGAGGATGTGCACAGCGCCAGAACAGCTTGTGGTAGTTGGGACCCTGCTTCTGGCATATGAAGAGGCGTGTGGCCTCCCCATGCTCGCATTGAACTGGTGGCCCCACCATTCGAAGAATCGCATCCGTGATGAGCTCCTTCCCCATGTAGGAACTTGCCTGAGACTTCTGGCTCTTGGCTGGCGATGATGGTGGGATCAGTTCGAAGCTGCCCTCGGTCGGCGCCACTCTGGTAGTTCTCGGTTTCCCGGACGAAGTGCTCTGGTTCAGGTGATCTGGTTGATGACGTAGAAGACGAAAGGCCAGCGAGCTGACATTCTGCATGATGCTCATCACCCTCACCAGGAGCATGTGCCATGCTGACAGGATCTTGAAGCTGTTGTCCTGGGTGCGAGTGCGCTTCTTCTCGGTCTCCATCATGGTTGACAGCACCGAAGGTTGAACCTGGAACGGTCGGGCTTTTTCCTGGGCCAGACTTGGCGGCAACATTCGATACCTCAGGTTCTGTTCTGAAAACTTCAAACTCAGTTCCAGCGCTGTTGAGGGTTTCTTGAGTTTGTTTCAGGTGTTTGATTTGTTCATGTGAAAAATTGCACAAAGGAATACGTAAGGCACCGGTGGGACCTAGGTGACAATTAACAGAAAAATTGAACTTCTTGAAGTGGATTTTCAAACCATTTTGGGGGTCCAAGTACAAAACAGCACGGCAGAACATCAAGAAAGGTAACGAGATAAGGAAAGGGGCATGTTTACTCTCTTCATTTTCAAACACCGCAGGTTTCAGAATGCTTCCCTTCCTACCCAGTCCTGTTGGTACTTCTGCTACATGAGTTGTAGATGACCTTCCATGAACAGAACGGAACCGATGTTCTTGGGGTTGAAGTTGTACACCTAGTTCTTCTGGAAGATGTGGGGAGAGTCGCCGAAGAGTCTCATACCCTATGGCCACTCTGACATCCAGTGTCAACTGTTGCACACGCTTCTTCCGGAGGGTTAGTAGAAACCAACTTGGTATTAGACAACCCTTCCCCAAAAAGAATCTCCCAGTCCTCATTCCCAACATTGCGGTCCTTATACGGGGACGTGGGCTGGCACTCAGCTACATTGGAATTGGGCTCAGGTTCAGCTACCGCAAAACTTCCCACTGGTGGGGAATCTAAGCTGGCTACTGCACTCATGGCTTCTCCGGTGGTCTCATGGTCTAAAAGACCGCAGAAAACAGCTTCTTCGGTTTCCAGAAGATGCTGGTCACGTTCTCGGGGAGGCTCTGGGCACTCGCGGTGCCAATGTCCAGTGCGGAGACAATTCCCACAGCGGGTGATCTTTTTGATTTCTTCTATGGTCATCTTATACTGACCTGCTTTCCAAGGAGGCTTGCCGGTGTTGTTGACGGTATAGGTGTTCTTGCCCTTACCTTTGCTCGGAAAGTTGCCAGACTTGTATCCTCTGCCAAGTTCCTTGCTCTTCTTCGCCTTTTGTGGTTGGACGAAGCTGCGCTTCTTCGTCAGGATCGTGTTGAGGATCTCGGCTGCCTCGTGCTCGTCCAGGGTCTGCGTCTCCTCATCCTCGGTGCCACCAGGTTGATCACCAGGTTGTTCTCCACCTTGTAGTTCCATGATCGCCGCCTCGATGGCATGAATCTCCTCCTCGTCATTCTCGCTCTCGTCCTCGGCGACGAAGAAGTTGCCGCTCGCCTTCGTCGAGCTGACCTGGTTTTTCTTGGGGTCAAGTCCAACCTGTGCCACTTGCAACTTTGTTTCATGCTTCCTGACCCAGTCCTTGATGTCAGGCGGCATGATGCTGCCACGGGTATAGTTGAGGAGCGACTTGATCTCCGGTTCAGTCAGGTTGAGGGCATTCACCAAGAGGAAGCCGATGTACTTGTCCGGCAGAAAGACCTTGTGCTCGGCCACTTTGCGCATGGCAGTCTCCCATCTATTGAAAAACTGTCTATGTGTCTCCTGCTTCTCCCTTCTCACATGGTAGGTGATCTTTGCTAAGGCACCTAGCAGGTCCTCATCTCGGTCATCGCCGAAGTACTCGGCCTTGTCCATCAGGTCTATGAGGTCCTCACCATTGGTCTCACTGGCCATCCATTTGCGGTCCTTGGCCAGGAACTTCATCGTCTCGAAGGGCACCTTAGCTAGTCGTTGGAGTAAGAGAGGCCCTCTTGTGCGGGGTTTTGACCGTGTTGTAGCCAGCCATAACCTCGCCTTTATGGCGTAGTCTTGGAACGACAAACCATCGCCGTCCCACTCCGGTGCAGGTCCTGCATTGGTCCTGCTTCCATCTCCATCCCTGTCTCGGGAGCCATCACTGCTGTCGCGACGGCGATCTCGGCTTCGTCGTCCTCCAGCTCGACTCCTGTTTCTCATCCATTCTCGGAACTCTTCACTGTCAAACCCATCATCATCATTGTCCTCACCATGGACTTCATGTGCCTCATTTGAGGCTGTGCTCGGTCTCGAGCGTCCAGGCCTGCCTTGGCCGTTATTAGGTGCCTCGTCACTGCCATGTGACGAAGGGGGCACCGGCTGATCCATGTCCAAGCTCCGGTTACCACTTGCGGAGCGCAGCGGAAGGTTGCAGCTTTTTCACAGCCGCAAGGCTTGTGTTTCCCCACACAAGAAGGGCTTCTCGAGCCCACGTCCGCTGACACACAGCGAAAGGTTGAAAACAGCAACAGGCTTTGTTCAAGGTGGTGTTCCCTATACAAATCCACAGAAGAATATGAACATCACTGGGTGTGTTTAGTTTTTAGCATCCCCCATAAATGGCGGTCGTTGATGGCAAATCCCACGTGGCCTTCTCTACAGGCCGTTTCGCTGCCGCCTGAAGCTCGACAAGACAGCACGGCTTTTGTTTTTTGCCACAGAAAGGACCAAAATCAAAATCTCTGGAAAATCTCTGGAAAATCTCTGGAAAATCTTTGGAAAATCTTTGGAAACAAGACAATGAAAGAGACTACACTCTTTGCTCTGACCTATATATAACTATCAACAACGACCCCAAGAGAAGGTGTCTCGTTCTTTGGTCTTGGTGATCTTGAGGCCTCAAAATGCCATGCGTGCCCCATCCTGGTATTTTTTCCCATTTTGAGAGGAGCACCTTGGCTTTCTGGGAAGCTTTCTTGGCCTGAGCGAAATGGACAAATTGGGTGTGTCTAAAAATGAAATTGAAAAAAAGGACCATGTCCTTGGGCTTTGAGTAGAGGCAATGCTGGATTTTGGGGTCACCCACACCCCCAAAAAGGGGGTTCTGCACCTGAAGATATCCTGCAGTCACCGTTTTGTGATGCGGTTTCAGGATGCAAAACCCACATGGCCTGTGCATTTTTGGGCGGCATGGCGATTGCGGCCACACTCAGCAGCTGTTTGGCCACACGGATGTGGAAAATTCACTTGGGGTGCCCTGGATTTTGACATCTTTCTGACACTGCTAGACTGCTAGACTGCTAGGGGTGATTTGCTTTTGAAAGCACCATTGGCAGATGCTTCATTTGACCTTTTTGTTGACCTATGGCAAGCGAATGGTGTTGAGAAAATGGATGCAGTACTCAAATCTCCTCACGATGCAAAATTGAACCCAAATTTCGGACAGAACGTCGCAGGAAAGGATGGGCCAAACTGCACCCCCAAGTCGCTTCCTCACAAGGAGTGACCCCAAAATTGGATGGTGTTAAGGGAACATCCACAGGACACCATGTTTCTTACCCTCAAATCGACAGGAGGTTCCTGTTCTAAATTCTTCCAATTCTCTGAGGTCACTTCAAAAAAAAAAAATCCCAGAGATTTTTTCCCAGTTCGTCGCCTTAAGTCTGGGCTTGTGCCAGAGCCATAGCTCTCATCTTCCGGAAACGCTCGGGGAACAGCAGGAAGAACAGCATGACCTGCGCTGGGGCGCGCTTCAACTTTCATTGCTGATGTTCGGTGGTTTTTCTGGGGGAAACTTCACCGGATTCTGGTTTAGAAAAATCCAAACAATGTTAGATATACCCTCTGGTAAAGTAACATAACTATGGAAAATCACCATTTTCAATGAGTAAATCAACTATTTCGACTGGGCCATTTTCCATAGCTATGTAACAAATTACCAGAGGGTAGCTGTGTTTTCTGTTGATTCCTGCAGACTCCAATTTGCACCGAAAATTGGGACGTAAGGCATGGAAATTGGGAACGTCAACCGTCCACCAGGGATATGAACGAATGAAATCATCAGACGAGGATAGCCCTTTAACCATGCTGAAGACTGGTGTTCCACATGGATGCTCCAAATCCCAAATCCATTGGTTGGTTATGGTTGGTTTATGATTTTCCCCAATGAAAAACAACAGTTGTAGAGTCATTGGAGAGGTTTCCAAACATTCCAGACGAACCCAAGTTGAATCAGTTCAGTGAATATCGCGTTGATGAATCTCCATGATGAACGGAGGTTTCCTGAAATAGGGGTACCCCTATAGTCACTATATAAATCATCCATGTGATTTTCGGTTTTGCCATGAAATCAACCATCCAGCGATAAAGGGGTAGCCCTATGGAAACCCCATGTAATTCTGATAAATGATGGATGATTATGGATGATACCCTCTGGTAAACTAACATAAACATAACTATTGAAAATCACCGCTTTTAGTAAATCAACTATAACTGGGCCATTTTCCATAGCTATGTAACAAATTACCAGCGGGTAAATAATCATCTCCATTTTTTTCATCCCATTAATCATTGATTGCCATTAATCATCATTATTTGCCCATTGATTAGTGAATATCCCATTGATCAATCTCCATGTTGATGATTTACCATTGATTGAAATCTGGTATATCATTACTCAATAGGATATTACCATATATATCCATATATATATCATCTCCATTAATCATCCCATTAATCATCATAGGATATTACCATATTAATTACCATGATAGATTGGTGAATATCCCATTGATCAATCTCCATGGTTTTTAACCAATGGCCTGGATCCGTTCCTTGGCCGAGCGGTTCAAGGCCGCTTTCAAGGAAGCATTAAAGACCTGGCCCTCGATGCCGTAGATGAACCCCCTCCAGCCATCCTGTTTTACCCTCTGGTAAACATACAAAAAGCTATTGAAAATGGCCCATTGATAGTTGATTTACCTATGAAAAATGGTGATTTTCCATTGTTATGTTACTTTACCAGAGGGTAATGGCTCGGTCTGGTGCTGGTTTGGTTGGGGAAAATCCGGAAATCCTGGCTGGTTGGTGGTTGGCTCAACCACCAACCCCTCTGAAAAATGATGGTTTGTGAAAGTCAGTCGGGATGATTTTTCATTCCCAATATGTGGAAAGTCATAAAATTCCATGGTTCCAAACCACCAACCAGCTGGGTTTTTCATGGTTTTTCATTGTTTTTCTGATTGGAAATGTCCAAAATGTCATAGAATGTCCATCTTGTTCCTTGAAGCAAGGTTTGCGACTGTTGAACAGCCCAAAAATTGAGAAAACTTTGAACGCAGAGACTCTTTGTTGGGATGTGAAGTGCCAAATGCTATGGTTCCAGTAGCCTTGGTAAATATCCCAAACATGAACAAGGCTTGGTAAGTGTCCTGCTTCAACATCAACTGAGGATTTTTCATCTCCAACGGAGGCTGAAAGTGATGCGAAACGTAGAAAAATCCTTGGCATTTACCAAGCGCATGAAAAGGATCAACTGGAAAAGGAATGTTCACCGGTTCAATGTTCAGTCATGTTTCATGATCACACCGATTGTGGTTCAAATCCTCCAAGTTCTGCCCCAAAAAAAAGGGGCAGGCGAAGGCCCCCAATGTATTCAATCTACTCATGCCAAATCCGGTGCTCTTACTGTGAGATTGCATGTTTCCAACCACACCTCCCCCCCGATCTGCCTCAGTCCAAACCTTCAAAGACATTTCCCACATGCTCAAGGCCTTCCCCTCCGTTTCTTCGGAAGAACTGCGCCGTAGCTTGGAACGCTTCGTTTGGGCTTGGCACATCTGTTTGATGCGCGTCAGGGGATAACAAATGGTGGAGGCAATCAACTTGCTGATGAGACCCAACCAGAAAGCTTGCGCAGCACTGAGACCCACCTGATCAGTTGCGGGTAGGTTTTTTTTTTTCGGAAATGCCTGGGGTTCTGGTGGGGGCCCCCAAAGTTGTAAGAAACCGGCCTGATTTGATAACCTGGTCTTGGTACGACCATGTGCCTAATGTGCCTACGGCAATCTCACGGACCATGCACAAGATTAGCACGCAGTTTTTTCCCACACACACGATCATCATCTGCAACCAGCCAAACAAACAACCATCAAACCACCCGAAAAACCATCCCAAGTGGGGCTAGAACAAAAACATGACCAAAAGCATGACATCAATGATATCTTTTTGGTGGTGCCAACCCCTCTGAAAAATATTAGAAGATATGCAAATATATGTTGAAACCAAAAAAAAGCATAGATCTTTTCACACAGCTCCAACCTGAACTTCTCGCAGCTTCATCTGGGCCAGATCCACTCCAGCTTTGGCTGCTGCCGATAGGTTCTGGCGCTTCAGCCAGGCATCTTTAATCCCTTCGAAGATGGTGTCTTGGATGGTGGCGTTTAAGGACAGCAGCAAACAGGGCAGGAGCCCCTTATAAAACGCTCCGAGACCCTCTTCTCGGTACATGGCAAGTGCCGTAGCCCAGTTGCCCCGCTTCTCCGTCTGCGTTTGCATTCGCGTGGAATGATTCTGCAGCGGCAAAGTGGTGAGTTGCATGCAAGCACCAGCGCAGGTAGCTAAGACCATGTTGCCGCGGTAGCCAACACGACCTACCTGGCTATGGGTCAATACCTTGGTACCTCAAAAGAGCTTGGATTTATGGATGTTCATCCCACTAAAATTGATCAGAGGTTTTGACCCCCCCGCCTTGCTCTGGTAGATGGAACGGAAGAACTCAAAATAATAGTAATAAACGAAATTGAAGACGAAGGCATCTGCACAAGTGCTGGCATATCCTGGCGCCCATGGGGCCAACAATGCCTTGGGCCCTTCCTTTCTCCAGGTATATGCCATGGCCGCAAAGGTGTTGCCCATGGCCTCGGGTATCAGAAAAACCAACCCATAGGTTTTCCCTTCTCAATGGACTGGGAGACTCAAAAAAAAACATGACTTTGGGCAATTTTAGGGGTAATCAATGAGAAGGGAATCCATGATGTTCTAATTTTTCCAATTTTTTGGGGATCCATGATTTTTGCAACGCAGAAAGCTCCACAAAAAAGTGGTCGGCCCAGCCTGCTGCTTCTCGAGGTTGTCTTCCTCATCTGTGGTGGCATTGCCGGCAAAGGCTTGCACCTGTCATTGGTCATCCAATTCCCATTGCAATCCCAGGTAGCAGTGGATACCCTCTGGTAAACTGTCCCAAAAAACGATGGAAAATCCGCCCATCTTTAATGGGTAAATCAACTATTTCGACTGGGCCATGTTCCATAGCTTTTTGTATGTTTATCAGAGGGTATGGCTTGAGAATCTCTGTGATATAAGGGATTAATGATTACCATCCTCCTAATATGCCTTGATTAGCCAACTACCTAGAAATAAAGTGTCCCCTTTCTGTTGGCGCTCCAACTCTTGCTGATTCAAAGGGCAGCCCAGCTGGCCATGGAGAAAGATCATCAGCCGAGGCACTTTGGTTTTGGTCACTTCTAGCGGATAGAGCACAGTGGTGGAGAATAACTCAGTGCGTCGGCAAGGGCGTCGACAACGGCTCGGCAACGGGTTGGCTAGGTGCTGCAACGAAATGTTGGGACCTTCAAATCCATCTTCACTTGAAAATGTCGTCCGGTAATCAAACATGGCAAATTGAAATCCGCCATTTATAGATGATGTTCCCATTAAAAACTCAATTGATAGTGGATTTTCCAGCCACGCTTGACACCAAAGGGTAGTTCCAGCTTGAATTGGCACTCGAAATACCCTCTGATTTAACAGTTCGCTATGGAAAATGACCCATTTGTAGATGATTTGCCTATTTCAAGAAGGTGATGTTCCATGGCAAGCTGTGAAAAATTGCCAGCGGGTTCCCAAGTGAAGGATGTGGTTCCAAAACCTCACATGGTGGTGCTAGGATTCCATCAGAAAGATCAACCAGCTAGAACTCCTGGTTCAGCCAAAGTATCCAAAAGCTACTAATGGTGATTAATGTGGTGGTTAATGGTGATTAATGTGGTGGTTAATGGTGATTAATGTGGTGGTTAATTGGTGACTAATGTGGTGGTTAATGGTGGTTAATGTGGTGGTTAATGGTGGTTAATGGTGACTAATGTGGTGGTTAATGGTGGTTAGGGAAATCTCATTAGTAACCTTCCCCAACATCCGTGAAATCCCATGAAAACCCTTGAAACCTCCTGACATTCTCTGTTTCCTGGTGGAATCCCAGGTTTTCAGCGAGATACAGCTCCCACTCCACCGCCCAGTGCTTTTACGAAGCCTTCAATCGAGGCATCCATGGCTCGAAAAGTTTGGCTCGACTGCGTTTTCCAGGGAAATCCCCAAGGGGATTGGGAAATCTGTGGGAAATCTGTGGGAAATCTGGAAAGTTGGACTGAAATGACTGAACTGCTGTTGATGTTGCAACTCGTTTTATCATGAGCTTTTTGGAGACCTGATGGTCACAGTATCCTGGGATGGATGTGTTCTCAACCCTCAACTCGTAGTCCCTCAGCTCAGTTGTTTGCAAATATTATGCTTCAACAACCACTCAGGATATTTCACTGATCTTTCTCAGCCTGAAAAGTTTTCCAGAGTTTGTCTGCGCTGCATTGGAAGACATGTGCGTTTGAGGGGTTGACTCCAAAAGCTACGGAATATGTTGTGTTCCAACTGCAAACCAAAGCATCCAACTTGCGGCAAACAAGTTTTAGCTTCACTGGAAAAAATGACTTTCAGGTTCTCCAAAGCCAGAAAATGTATGCGATCTTTTCCTCAGACATTGGCTTTTGGGAGAGCATGTCTTTCTCCATTGGCCAGAGCCTACACCAGCTGCATATCATGAGGATTGCAATGTCACACAGGCTGGCATCACATTGGCATGAATTCGTCTGCCACATTGGGCGACCCATCCAAATGCTGGCAGCATTTCGATGGTCTAAACTTTCTAAGTCGTGAGAAATGTCCACCTACGGCGATTAGGGGACAGCGCTGTCGTGCGCGACCCGGCGAAATTTCAGCATTCCGTTCCTTAGTTTTCCAGGCGAGCAACAAAAACATAGCACAGGTGAAGCAAGCTATGAATGGACCGCAGATAAGCCGCTCAATGGCTGTTTTCTGCACTTCTTTTTCGAGATGTGTTGACCTCACCATGGGATTTGAGGATGGCTGGTACTATGGGATTTGAGGATGGCTGGTAAATCTCTGGAGGATCCAGCATGATGGTGGTCCAATTGGGATCCGACACCCCAAAGAACAAACCCATTTTTTCCGCCCCAACAGTGCTGACACCCAAATTTCAGGATTCCACATGTCAAAATTTGAAGATGTCTCTTCACCGAGATTCAGAAAAGATCCAACGAAAAATATGGGAAGAAATTGGGTGCCAAACTTCCAAGGAATTCCCATCTTACCTGGCCTTGATTGCAGTTCTTCAATCTCGGTCCGCAGCGATTCCAGACATTTCCGATACGCCTAGTCAGCATCAAGAAATAGGATCCAAAAAAAATGTGGGTTCACCCTAAAAATCACCATATATTACTATAGTAACTACTATAGTACATATACCATCTGGTGAAATGACTAACAGTTTGCCATGGAAAATCCACCCATTTTTAAGTTCGGTAAACCATCTATTTCTATGGGCCATCTATACCATGGCTATGTTAAATAACCAGAGGGTATCTATCCATGATTTTAAAGAGTACCAACAAAGATAAACTGACAAAACGCCCTGGCTGGAACTGCTCCCCTGTGGCAGTGCAACCATCGCCTCCTCCAACTGCGCATTGGGGGGCACTTCAGGGCTCTGCAGAGCCTTCAAGCCTCGAAAGCCCGCGGCCAACACGGCGGAATCCCAAACTCACTATTGATGAATCCGTGGTATAAGTAGAGAGGAATATGGTTATATTATAGTAATCCCCAAATAGATAGAAAAGGTTTATGTACTGTATCACTGTTTTGCTGGGATTTCAGACTCCAAAATCTGGAAAGTGGTCCAGCCATCAGAAAACCATGTGAACAAGAAATTGGCGTCTGAAAATCATCAGCTCTCAGCAAGCCTTGACTCATCACTGTGTTCTTCCTATCACCATGTTTCACCAGCCCCGGTGCTGAACCTGCAGCCAACCTGGCAGTCCTGGGAAAGGTCCCAGTTGAGATCAAGGATGGAAAACCAAAAAATATATCGTTGAAACCACTAACCAACTAGGTTCCAATAGGTATTATGTCAATAAATTCACTAACCAAATGGATACAAATAGGTATTTGCAACATGAATATGTCCAAAAATTGGTCAACGCCCAATATGCACCACCTGATGGCCTAGTTTAGTAGAGGAAACCATTGGCTTTCTAGGTCCGTAAGTTTTTCCAGGTCCAGAAAATCAGCGGGTCTGAAAAAAAAAAACATTGGCCGTTTGCCAACTAGGTATAGTCATGGTTATAAACCTTCATAAGTTGGGATATGGATATAAATGATATGAAACCCTATAAGTATGGTTATATATAATATATACACATACACAAATATGTAATATCATATGTGTATGTGTATATATATATATATGCAGTATATCATTCACTTTGTTCACTGGAACTGCACTTCCAAGCAATGTCATGTATCTCTGGAGTTGCAGGGCCCAGTCCTATTGTTTTCTTGCTCACTCTGAGGTCGCAAAAGTGAGGAATGAGCCAAGTTCCCACCTGAATGCCTCAAACGTGCCCACGGAGTCATCCATCTTTAGGGGGATCGTTATTGGAACCCAAATGGAAGAATTGTTTTGGTAAAATCGTCTATAAATGAAGATTTTAATAGGTGCTTTAGGTGTTTCTCAGACTTTTTTGCGGACAAAGGATGTTTTCGAAGCTTTGCTTTTGCTGCAATTCATGTCTTCTGTTGTTTCTTGTTTGTTTTGGACTTACTATTTGACATTGACATGGCTTGGGCTATCAAAAAGAAGCTTGTCACCTTACGCAGCAATGTCTAAAACACTGTCCCAAATCATGCAAGGCAATATGTAGAACCTCCAGGAATTGCAGATCCATATCTCTCCAAAGAAGCCGGGGTTTCTTACATTTTTCCAGATGTTTTTTTACGACCTGATTGCTCGACAACAACTCAGAGTGGCACAATCTAGCACTGCCACCTCTCAATTGCCGCGTAGCTCTCTGCCTGTACGCCGCGACAGAATGCCGGAAAAGTTCGCAACCACAGCCCCCACAGCCCCCACCTGTCCACAAAATTGGAAGACCTCAGTGATTTCCACATCCCATTCCGTGGATGGATTTTTGGAGTGGCGTTAACTATCAAAAGTATGGGTTGACATGGCGCAAAACAGTCCTTAAATGGGATTGATATTGCCATTATCTAATGTTGAATAGCAATTCTTAGGACCCAAATTCGTTAAATCCAATGCACTTCACTGGGATTTCGTGGGTATCTAATATTAATGGGAAGGGATTACTTCATATTACTTCACATCTAGAAGAAACAATGCACACCGAATTGCTGGCAGAACGTCACACTGGAGTATCAAGGTAAAACTCCTCAAGAGTTTTGAAAACCGTTTCAATCGCTTCATCCAGTGCCAGAAAATTGCCCTATCTCTATGGTGGATGATCAACAGATGAAAACCATTGGATGAAATTGGGCATCACATATGTGTATATTTGGATGTTTGGACAAAGTACAAGGATCATGTTCATTTGTCATCACCATCACGATGCTTGCCATTCATAAATACTAAGCACATTTCTTGAAAAAAATGTGAATATGGGGAAGGATGAAATCTATGAAATACCATATTTAGGGAATGAACATCTCAATCCTAGCTATTTTGATGTATTAAGAAGTATTAACAGCAGGGTTTATCATGGTTTTGGCTCATAACCATAGCCATGTTTTTTTCATATGGTATATTTGGTATGGTCATCCATCCCAGAAAGTGAATCCGTTTTTCATCGGTATTTAAAAAAAAGTCCCTACTACTGGATTGTCATCGATCCCCTAACATACCCTCTGGTAATTTAACGTAGCTATTGAAAATGGCAATTTATAGTGGATTTACCCATTAAAAATGGTGATGTTCCATAGTTATGTTAGTTTACCAGAGGGTAGACAGTTTACCAAATTTTTGTCAGTTTTGCACATAGATTTGGGTCAAATCCAGAAACCCACATCTTTCTTCAATCTCAGTATCTATAAATCCATCAGTCAATAGAAAAATCAGAAATGTGTCCCTTATTGAGCCCCTATGAAATATCATGAAATACCATTAAGCCCCCAAGTAAATCACTATTCAATGTCATAAAACACCAAATGATACTTCAACATGAATGGAAAAATATCATTAATCTAGATACTATGATCATTAGATAGCCTTAAATTTAGATATCACTTACCACCATCAAATATCATTATTAAAGCATGAAATTTAATATATCTATTGATATCAAACATGCAAAAATGATCATTCACCACCATCAAAAATCAAGATATCATTAAAATCCAAAACTCATTAGATCTCATTTAAATATATATATATATCATTCGATATCTATATATATATAAATTTATATATAAACTCCCCATGCCATCGCCTACCTCGGATCCTCCGATCCAAGGCACAACAAGGATCTGCCCGGTCGGCCCGAGTCCGCTGAATTGGACCGTGGCTTAGTGGCCTGGGAGATCTGATCTGATCTGATCTGATGAGGAGAAGAGTTCTAATTAATAGATAAATCATTAATATCAATTATGATATAGTAGTATATCTACAGTATATCTATAGTATATCATTAATTATATGATATAGTAGTAGTATAGTAACCTTAGATAATATCATTAATATCATAACTATGTATATCAAATAGATAATATGAAATAGATAATATCAGTTATGATAATGAAGTTTTAAACTTCAACCTATAGAGATAATATCATTAATATCATTCACTGACTCAACAGCTCTGGTGGATATGAACTTCCATGGTGTATTATTAATATAGAAGTATCATTGATACAATATATGTATATACATACATATATATATATATGTATATGTTCTATACATAAGTATGTATCAATAACTGTTCTGATAGTAAAATGGTGATCCTAATTGTTAGATCTGATCTGTTAATATATCAATAAAATGTTCTATTGAACATCAATGGTGATCTAATAATATTGAGGATATGTTGTTGGTTCTATCAATAAATGGTTTAGATATATTATATTGTAAATTGATGGATTTTATCAATAAAGAAACTGTAGATAGCTTTTTGGATAACTATAGATAACAGTAAAACAAACAATGTTGAGGATAACTGTCGATAAATAAAAATAAAACATAGAATATACAATTAGAGTGGTAGACCAATTCATGTTCTGATAGATAAATAGCTCTTACACCCAGTCGGGAAAGTCAGCGCACTGTCTGTTTGAAAACAAATCACAATGGGACGCTGCGCATTCAGGAAGTCACAGAAGTCAGAGCAAAATTATGCAAATCAGCATGGGACGCTGTGCGCCAGCAATGATCTATTTCGTTTGATGTTCGGTGTTTTTTATGGCTCTAAAATTAGGAATCATATTGTGGACGCTGCATCTATGCAGTCATTGTTTTGGGTTATTTTGAATGATTTTGTTGAAAAACGCAATGGGACGCAAGTTTCACCACAACTACAGTCAAAGTGAATCGACAGTAGCAGCAGCGACAAGACAAGACAACTCACGTATTTCCGGCGATACCCCGGCGATACCCTAAAATGGAAAAAAAGATGAAAAAAGGAACCCCTCGCAGGGAAATTCCGAACCTACAAGAACGCAGGTAAAAAATATCAATGTTCCAAACCATGTCTTCCAAAACACTAGCTGGACGCAGCACGCACCGACTTCCAGAAATCTTTCCCCCCAACTAAACGCAACAAAGCAAGTGAACGCATTGAGTTTCCAAATGGGGTGTATGATCTATTACTATATGTTGAATTATATAAGTAACTGTTCTGATCTATTTATTAAGTGTGAAATTATATGAATCGAACTAGAATCATGTGTTTGGATGAAATCTTTTCTAAATCGAATTATTCGACACTTCGACATGTGTTTCTATAATTCTTAAATGAGTATCTTGCATAAATTGAAAAATAGCTGAGGAACAACTGGTGACGTGAATACTGTTTGAAACCATTTGCTGAGGAGAATAGCACCTTTTCTCCAACCAGAAGGCAGCTCCGGCCGCAGCTCGGTCCATGATCCAAGACCCCGCAAAGCTTTTTTAAAGCAAATAGAAATCCTGAAAAAGATGGGTTTCAGGATCTCTTGCCAACTCAAGTGCAGCAGAGTTTCCAATCTTCTCAAAAAGTCCATGACATAATTTGGTGCACTATCAAAAGTCCTATTTACAGCCCCACTTCTGCTTTGGCACCACATTTTTCATCCGAGAGCTTGGCCAAGTGCGACACAGCGCTTTTCTCGCTGAAGTGCCTCCTGGAAAGGTTGAAGCTCCCCTTAGATTCAATGCCTCCAGGACTCGGAAATGACTTGACTAGATCCAATATACCAAAAACCAGGCTATTGAAGAGTATTGAATCTTGGAAAAGGATATTGAATATAAAGGGGGAAGAGTATTGAATATTGGGAGAATATTGGGAGAAGGGGATTTCACTGGAAAAGATAGAAAAGCAAATGTTTGTTGATTCTACTGAATTCTACTGTCCATCTGAAGCCAAAGCCAACAGGCTCTTCCCCCTCTCCTAGGTTCTCCGCTTCCAGAAACGGTTGCATCCTGGCCATTCCAACAGAAGGCGAAACTGGAGATGAAGATGGAAAACCCATTGATTTCTGGGTGAAGAGTCAGAAAAACACCATGAAGGCGATAGAAAGATCGAAATTTCCAGCTGTGATTTTGGAGACAAAACTCACTGCCATCACTGCCATCACACGAGCCTCAGGGATTTGTGGCACACCACTACCTCCATCTCGGCCTCATCAGCGGTTGATTGGGGACTTTCCAAACTGTTTCTGATGCTCGCGGGCAGAAATGGCATAGCAGAAAATCTATGGGAAAGAATGCAAAGAATGCCTCAAAATATCAGAGCGGACTGGGCAAAACAAGTTGCACCAGCAGGACTTCCACAAAGACGAAAACTCCACAAACCGTTCTTCCCTACCATCCAAGACCAGCAGGATGGGGAAAAAACCACAGCTTCAAGCGCAAAGTGGTCTGAACTACAACGTGATTCCATATGTCTATGGAGAAGCGTTCAAACTTTGGCAGCATTTTTCACTATCCCATCCCATTATCATCATTATCCCATATTATCCCTATGGATTAATTAAAAGATATTAAAATCATCCCCAATCAGCTATAGTTACTGTCCCTGCATCCAACAGAGCCATTCCCAGGTGGCCCTGGCCAAAGAGTGACGATGGCATCAGGGTGGCATCCAGACCCAAGGGAAGCCCACTCCGGGGAGCCTCACTCCTCAGGAATTTCCACCACTTTCTGAGAAAACTAGGGGAAAAAAATGGAAAAGGGGCCAGAAAATGGAAGCTGAGATGAGAAATCAGTCAGTTGATGCCAGTTCGTAATATTCATGGACCTTTGTTTGGTTGGGGGATACCAGGTCCATCGAGATTCCTTCCCTAGAATCGATTTAAGTGAACACCGACAAGAAACCGTCATATTGTTGATAAACCAAGACATCGAGTATAAATATGAAGTATAGTTTCCCCTTTTAAACAGGATAAACCATAGTTTCCTCTAATTTTCCCCTATAAATCTGAGTATAACTCAATCCATCGATAGATTCTTCTCCAAATCTCAGTGATCTCAGCGAACTACCGAACTCACAGCCAGGGGTCGGCTCTGGCACGTCCACATCCGAACCGTAAGGCAACGGTGCTGGTGCGGAATGAAAACGCCTCACCCGAGCCTCAAAGCAGAACCACATCTCAAGGCAGATTTCACACAATTTCGCGTCCCAGTTTTTGTTTCAGACGTGTTGAAATGTTGCGACACTTGGCATCCAAACTTCAACGAATCTTCAGTTCATGTAGGTTGAAGTTTGGTTGTTATAGGTGGACATCAAAATTGAAAAACATCACTGCCACCGCGAACATCGCCAATCTCAGCTGGCGGCTGGGGCTGCGGTCGCCTCGCAGATCTTGTTCTGTTCGGTGCCGAAGGGCACTCTCGGACTATGTGCTGGTGGCACTCTGGGGCTCAACCTGGCCAGGTCTGACCTTTCGGGAAACGTTGCACTTTTTCATAACCGACGCGACAACCGAAACGAGGGAAACATGGGAAAACCCTGAAGTCGTGAGTTGCATGGTTCAAAATATGTTACACATGTCAAAAAAATGATCAAACATGGTTTTGAAAAAAATTGTAAAAATGATTATGTCAAAAATGATGCTTTCCCATCTCTCACAATCTTTTTTGAGCAGAGTGAAAAAGCCTCCAACATCGCCGCTACGCTTTTAATCCCGTAGCATCCAACATCTCTGTGGGAATGATGATGATCCGACGATCCCCCACAGCCAGTGGTTTCTCATCCCCCCGTGCTGGTCCATGTTCCCCCAACATGGTCAGATTTCGGAAGCGCCCATCAGGCAGGTGGTTCTCTGAAACTGGATCCATCCAGTTTCTTCTGGAAATATACGGTTGAGTCCCTGCCTGTTCGCTACCCCAAAATCACCATGTTTCATAGGGAAACAAATATGAACAAATTGAATCTTCATGACATGTTGTTTGATTGTTTTTCTTGCCCAAATTCTCAGACATATCACCAATCTCTGCAGTTTTACATCCCCTGCCTGCCCCAGGCATCCTTCTTTTTGGTCCCTTCCGGGAGCTGCTCCCAGGGGCCACAGCTTCGTCGACAGTACTCCTCTTCGCTGATTCATCATGAAATTTGGAGCTCCAATTTTCAGGAAGATCCATGTTTTTAGATCAGAATTGGCATGTCTACTCCACAAATTGGGGTTGAATTCCCATGAAAAACCCTACCTTTTATTGCTGAACATGAATGTTCATGGGGATATCACACTAGAATGCACTGAACATGTCAGAACACCGGGATTCAATCGTGGCATTTTCCTTACCTCCCAAGGTACGATCAAACCAACGCAGTGGCGAAGCCTTTTGAACCCCATGCCGCAGTGGTTTCCAAACTTGATGGTTTTGTCCGAAAATTGGCACCCAAAGAACTGCAATTTTTAGAGTAAAACTGATGATAAATCACCTACACCGGTACACCCAATGTTTAAAACCACATATCCCCGCAATTCCTCCCAATCACAACTTGGAGTGCTCCTGTGCTCCTTCACTGGTCCTCCCACGCCGCTTTCCACCCAGAGCTACCTGGCAAAACGCCCAAGCACTAGCCGTGGTGATCCCTGACAACAACCTCTTGTAAGTGGAATATTCCATGAAATCGATTGAAATCATGTTGACCAAAAGACTTTAAGTGGAATATTGATGAATATTGATGAATATTGAATGTTTATGAAATAGTAACCACTATATTATGAATATTGATGAATATTGATGAATATTGATGAATATTGAATGTTTATTGATGAATATTATGAATATTGAAATAGTATCAAAAAAATATCTATGTCCTGTGGAAAAACCACCCCCTTCTTTCACCCTTGGGGGCTTCAAGGGCTTCCCGAAGAAACGCGGCACCTGTTGCCACTCCTCCGGCGAACGTGTGCTCAGCCCATCGACCAATGTCCCCATCTCTCGACTTTGCAAATGCCTGGAGTCGACATTTTACGAATGAAGTCCACAAAGAAAATGAAAAAAAAAACATCATAAATCATGTTTTGATGAATGATCAATAATGATCAATATATATATATATTGATATTGATATATTCCACAAGAAAATATCAATATAAATCACTGATTTGATTGCAATCGACTTTTCCTACCTTGGGGGGGGGAATTCATATGGTTTTAGCCTCTCTCTGACATGGCACAGCGTCAAACATGCCGCAACATGCCGAAAAAGTAACCAGCTTCTGTCTGCGACAAATCTCCAATTCTACATGAACCCGGTGGTTCCTAAAATGGGGGTACCCCAATAACTGGATGATTTTTCGTGGAAAATCCTATTAAAATAATTGAAAAATAGGGGTACCCCCCCAATTTTAGGAAACTTCCAATAAAGTTTACTCAGATCATACAGGGACTGTACTCAGATCATCAAAGTTCGTCCACATCCTCCAACCCAATCGGGTGCCTCCTTTGACTGTGCCTCCTCCCTAAAGGAAAGCCATTGGCTGTCTCCTCGAGGCAATCGATGAGGCACTTGGTGGGAATGTGTTCGACCATGTGTTGACAGGATTTTCCGAATTGGCATTTGGGATGTCTCAAATCTTAAGAACATTTGGCAGTGTGTCAAAACCTTGTACCCCTGTAGTTCACATCAAAATAGCTGGGATTTATGGATGTTCATCCCACTAAAAATGGTATTAATAGGTATTGATCCATACCCATTCTGGAAAATCAAAAAAAAACTCAGAATTCTTGGGGGTTCCAGATACGTTCAAAACGGCCGGTATATTGGCTGCCAAGAATTCACGGCAGGATTGGATCAGCAGATCTTTTGATGCTCTTTATACTGAGCTACACCTGAGGTACACCCAATCCCCAATTGGGGATGGTTTATTATTGGGTGTACCATGAAACCTGCAGTCCGTTGCAGTCCGTTGCCATGAAACCTGACTGAAACCTGGTCTCCCACGATAAGCCGTTCTCCTCACCAGATGGATTCTCTTGCAAAGCTTCCGGCTTCTCGGCCTGGCGCTTGGGTTATTGCTGGAGAACAAGTTCCTCTGATTCTTTTAGCCCAAAGTGATACAATATTTAGGTGCTAGGTCAGCTTGTGTTGCTGCCTATTGATCCATGGGGATCCATGGGGTGCTGATGCCAGCTGATGCCAGCTGATGCCAGCTTGGACACCACCTGTCTGCCTGCAGTTGCATGCCGCGTGCAGCACCGCTGCTGCTGTAGTGTGGAAGCCAACGACGACGACCGATCCGATCATTGGCCTCTCGTCGGATGTGCTTGAAATATCTTGAAATGATGAGCTTTGCGGCACCACATGTTACCCCATAGTACTAATACTACCCTCTGGTTATGACTAACATAGCCATGGTTTTTCGATGGCCCATAGAAATAGATGGTTTGCCTAACTTAAACATGGGTGGATTTTCCATGGCAAACTGTTAGTCATAACCATAGGGTATATATTGGTAATATAAATGATATGTACTATAGTATGATTGATATATATTTTTTCCCTCCCGGCCCAATGAAGCATCTCGCTGCGGCCTACATGCCTAAATTCCTGTGCAAAGCCGTCAAGGCATTGCAAAATCGGCGCCGACTTCTGTGCCATAGTCAGTCATGACCATGGTGCGGCACCGCTGCAAAAATCCTTCCTCGGGCTCTGTTGCCTCGGAAGCAACCTCAGTGAGGTCAAAAGCTTCCAAAAAGGCTTTCGCAAAACAGCGGCATAAAGCAGGAGCGTATTCTTTCAGCGCCGTTGTGCGCCATACGCCCTGCTCTGTACGGCCGATTGCAACTGCCGATGGCAGTTCTGTGCGTACTCTGCCTTGATGTAAATGGTACATCATTCGCGGCAAATTAACTGTCAGCAGTGAGGTTGGTTTTGGTGTGCTGGATCCAAGCAACCCCTGGGCGAATTTCAAGCACTGCACTTGGGGCAAAGCCAAGATCGCCTTGATGATCGCCGTGCGCCAAATAGAAGCTGCCTCATGGTGCAAAGGCTCCGCAGGGTGCTCCATGATGGCGAATCCATCCACCGCAATGAGCTCGATGATGCACAAAATGGAGAAAAATAGAAGATCATTTCCTACACAAAGCTGTTGAAGTTCACGCAATGAGACACATGGTAGCCCCCAAAGTTCAGCGATGGTACGCAGCACCCGTGGGCCCTTCCAAGACTGAGCCAATGGCGGAGCTTCTTCGGTTTCAACTTGCTTCCCCCGAGCTTGTGACCAAGTCTCACATGGGGGGCCGCCGATGAAGGCAATCACGTGTTTCATTCTGATTGCGCTCCACCAAAACTCGCAAGAATCCATGTTAGTGGCGTCTCCCCATTCACGGTTGACAATCACATCCATGGAAACCACGTAGAGCGTGTACTCCGCATGGGCAGATTGGAGGAGGTCCATGTAATACTGCACGTCCCCTCTCCACCTTCTCCCCGAAAATGCGTGCAAGACAACTCTGTGTCTCCCAAAAATTCTTGGTACTGCTACCACACAGTCGGGATGCTCTGTGATGTGCTCCTCAATGGCTCTGCACTTGGCTTCCAGTTGTTCCAAAGTAGGAAGGCTTGTTACAGGCTTCCGATGATGTTGCAGGAAAAGCCATGTGCTAGGTTCCAAAAGGTCCGCACAAATGATCTTCAGCTCATGGAGTTCAATACCAAAAAATGTTGCATCATTCTGGTCAAAGTTGATGACAAAGAAGTGCAAAGTGCTCGTAAACCTTGTCCATGATATGGCAAGTTCTGATGCCTTTGCCCTGATACTCTCTCCGAAATCAGACAGTGGAGCGCGCTTCTCCAAAATCTCGATAAGGAAGTCATACAACTCATCATCAACGTCGATGAAGTCCCTGTGTGGTCTGGCCTGCGCACAAGGGCCTTGACCACGAAGAGGAGGTAGGAGTCGATCATGTTCAATGGTTCGGAGGTTATCCTCCTTCGAGCCTACTCCAGGTGTGAGACTACATTGCAAACCACGAGCACGGAGTTGATTCCTGCAGCTCTCACTGTAATAAAGATGTGCCTTCAACTTGCTCATCGTGTGATAATGCTTGAGACACGCTGGGCAAGTGGGTTCATCAAAGAGTGGTCTGAGGCCAGATGGCTGACCATGTCTCTTATACATGTGAGCTGCTTCTCCTGCTCTATTGACACAACGTAGGCCGCATCCAATACATCCAAAATATCCAGAAACGACACTGCTCTGCGGGTCGTTGTCCAGCTCTTTCAGATCATGGTCGATCAGGGCCTGAATCTTCTCAATTGCCTGTTGATGTGCTCGTCTTGCCCTGTAGGCCTTTGCTCTCTGCAGTGTGTCATGCATGCAGGCTCTTCTGACAAGTCTTTTCCAATAGCCAGGACTGTGTCGTGCAACATTGCACCATTGCTGGAAATCTTCACGCGGATCACGCAGACTAGAGGTATGATAAATCTGTTCCCACATCCAGATGAAGTCTTGTTCCAGCAGCCCAGTCCACTCCAGGTCATGTGCTAGCAAAGCCCATATATCGTTCTGTTGCATCTGGAGAAGTGTGCAAAAATACCTGAGTCTGGCTCTACGAAGAAGAACTACTGGATGCGGCATTTTCAGTCGATCAATGATTTCATCGTCCATGATCTGCTCATCCTTTTTGATCTTCAGGAGTCTGCGGTATAGCTTGAAGACTGTCGCTTGGAATTTGGCCATTGTGCGAGCGTCAAAGGCTATCCATGTGTCGGCGCCGTACAGAAACTTGCTCAAGACCAGCATCTCAAACAACTCACTCCTCTTGGTGAGATCAATCTGGTCATTGTGGAAGATCACTTTGCGGTGCTGGTTGAAGCTTTGGTGTGCAATGCCTGTACGGCGCTTGATTTCTGTGTGCTGATCACTTGTATGATGCATTTGACCGCCCAAGTGGCGGTAGGCCGTCACGAGTTGAACTTGATGAAGGCCATGTTCACAAAGGACCGGTAGAGTCCCTGCTGACATCGGGCCATAGTGCTCAACCTTGGCTCGACGCGAGCCCTGGCCACGAAAGGTCATCATGATCTCAGTCTTCCCTTTGGCCAGGTTTGGCGTCATGCAATGGTAATGACAAAGGTCAAGCAATTGCCCTGTCACTTGACCCGTGATTGATGTCAAAGCCCCAGAGCTATCTGTTTGCAGGCACACCGCGAGATCGTCCATCCACGTGGGCCCAAGGAAATTGTTCCATGTGCCTGTGCCACTGCTGAGTTTGAACAGCGGGGGTTCATCATGATCTTCAAAACGTGCAATGACCTGATTCTCTACCATGTAGGCCTCCAGTTTTTGAAGAACGCAGGACCATGCAAACCCAAAAATGAAGTCCGCAAAACAATCACCAGGTCGCGTGCCTGCCCTTGTGCGTACAAAGTCAGCTTGATGGCGCAGCCAAAAATGTGTGCTGGCATGTATGGCTCGCACACAACGACAATCCATTTCTCCCATGCCTGCTTGTTCAATGGCTGGCTGCTCCGCCAATAGTTCATCAAGTTGGTGCAAAGCATCCTGAGGCAGTCGGAGCTTGTTCACAATGTGCGCGATAAGCTCATCAGATGGATCACCACCAATGGGCACTTCACGGATGATCCTGTAGAATGCTTCTGTCAAATCAAGATAAATGATACTAACAGAACGTCCCTTGTGCTTTGCCTGGCGGGCAAATGCTCTCACTTGATGCACGGCTAATTGCACAGGGGTCTTTCTTCGGCCTCCTTTCTGTTGCATTTGCAAGAACTTCTCGTATAGGGGAGCATGTTTTTGGCGAATTGCCCTGTGCATCGCTTTCCCTGTATGGTTCGACACTAAGATCGATCTGTATGAGGAGCATAGGTCAGCTGGTCCTCTCCCTTTGTAGACTGGTGCAACTATGCCACCCTTGGAGGACAAGTCTTCTTGTCCATGTGTGACCATGAGCACAAGCTGCTGATACAGGATCTTTGCTATGCTGTTGGCAAAGTGGTGGCAAATTTCACCAGGGATGCCATCTGGTCCACATGCACGACCACGTGGAACCCTGCGTAGTGCAACTTCAAGATCCGTCAGGGAAGGTAAGTCGCTAAGCTGAACGCTGATGTCATCTTGCGCAAACATGTGCAGTTCCTGTATCCATTTGTTGCGTAAACTGGAACTTGACATCCTTTCCCCTGCTTCCATGTCCTTGAAGTAGTTGATCCAGACAGCCAAAGCTTCACTCGGCAAACTGCATGTCTGTCCGTGGATGTCACGGACAATAGGCAAGCATTTTCTTTTCTGCTTCTTTGGATTTGTAGGTCCTGTGAAGCTTCTCAACGCTCGCAGAACTTGAGATGATGGCGTAGAGGCATCAATGGCTTGCAGCGTCTTGTCCAGCTCTTTCTGTTTGGCACCCTTCAACGCAGTCTTGAGCCTTCCACAACTCTCTTTGTACTTGACAAAGTTGTTCAGATCACGGCACAGCAAAGATGTCTCATAGACAGAGACTTGATGTTCGTGGCGTTCTCTTTCACCACTACTCCAGGCGCTGAAGCATTTTCTGAGAAAGTACAAGCGCTTGAAGTTCCTGTGACGTTTCATTTGTTTACGGCTCTGGAGTTTGATGGTCCTCAACTGCCAAATCTCTTCTGAAACATACGGCTTCTTTGCCTGAGACGATGCTTCATGTGCAGTGCATTTGGTCAAAGCAGCATGGATGTGTTGAGCAGCATGTTGTGTGTGGGCTTCCACATCAGACTGCCAAGGGAGGTGTGCAAAATCCTCGATTGCTTGACGCATCTCGATTGAAGGCTGCAAGAATGCGGCACTGTGATGTGTTGGGACTTTTGCCACCGGCTGCGGAATCCAAATGGATTCCCACCATTCAAGCTGGGCCGCAACGAGCTTGTGATCCTCATGAGTTGTGCCGAGATCAAAGTCCTCAACAACACAGGAATGTGTGCATCTTGACGCCCAGTTGCAAGGGAGAGCAATATGATCAATGCAGTGTGTGTCTGTGCCCGCAAAGTTCGTCCATGTTGCATTGTCGCCAACATGGGCCGGTCCAGTAGCTGGTAGATGAAGATCAAAATGCTGTAGAATCTGTCGAAAATCATTGGTATTTGCAGATGTAGCAAAACCTTCACGACATACTACCTTGTGATCAGCTGGTCCTGGAGCTGCATTTGCATCTCCCGCAAGGAACAATGCGTCGCCATCATGATGTTGATCTACGATCTCAGTCGTGCTGTTCCACCACTCAGCGCGTTCTTGAGCTGTGTATCCACTGTGCGGCG